TAATTATTTTTAAATAAAGTTTCAGGATTTACAGTCAGATCTCCAAATATATGTTGAAACCTGGATAAATTTGCTGATGATATTACAACTTCCAAAATCAAATAATTTTCATCTTTTGTGTCTGCCATAGCATCTCTTATAGCAGCCTCTTTTAAAAGCCAACTGTAAATATTAAAGGAAAAAATAAAACAATTTTTTTCCTTTCTAAATACTTAAAGCAATGTTCAAATACAATAAAAGATCCTCATACTCTGAACTTGAAATCATCCAACATGGAACTATTGGGAAGCTTTCATGTGAAATTAAAAGATAAAACAAATAAAATATTTAAAGACATAATACAAAATTTTGAAAACATAAAAAAGAGAAAGAAAATGTCGTCAAATGTAAATATATCAAAATCTTTCAGGTAATAACATATTCATATTACTGTCACATTAAATATGAATTGCATAATTTTCACTTATGTTACGGAGTTGTCCTGTATGGCATACAAGTCAAATAGAAAAAGATAAGTTAATGTGCAATATAAATTTTTAATATTTAGAAAAACATGTACACTTACAAATGCAAAGCATCAGCAATAATTTTAGATTTTATTAGAGTGTGGGATACTTATGCATGTATTATCCCTGGACTGTGAAACTGTTGCCAAGTAGTGCGATTTAGCATTAGGTATGGGTAAGTGTGACATAACAACACGCTCATAATATCTGTGCTTTCGTCTGATGTAACCCAGATTGATTTTCAATACACCATCTCTTGTTTTCATGAAAAAGAATAAAAATTAGCTATCAATGCTATATTTTTCCACAGAACAATAAGCAGTGGATTTTTTTAAAAGTTATGGCACCCTAACTTAAAAAAAAAAATGGTCATGATATAGTCATTTGAAGATGATTGAGAAAATAGTAAAAGACTGGAACTGGGAAAAGCCTGTATGGAATTACTCACAGCATTCTGAACAGAGCTTCCAATAAACTTGGAGGGTCTAACAAAATATCAGAATTCAACAAAAGCCTTTCTACAAAAAAGATGGTCAAATACTGACTGTTTATTTCATAAAGAGGTGTTTATTACTTCAAAATTTGCAGGAATGATCAGCACAATTTCTACCAACTTTGGTGGTTTGATGATAGCTAACTTTCATGGTCAATGGGATAACAAGTAAGTACTGAGTGTTTGTTTTAAATTTAATCTTGGAAGGAAAGAAAAAATAATCATTAGTAGAAAATAATTAGACTGAATTTTGCCTTCCCATCAAACAAGCACTTGAAACTTCATGCACCTTTATTTTGGAAATACTTGTTCTCTTCTCAGGCCCATTTATTGTATTCAGTAAGTTGGTTTATCCCATCTGCTTCATTAATTAAAATGTACACCAGGAAACAAAATTGATTAGGGCACTCAATATCTGATGATGGTAGATATACCTCTTGAAGCTTGTCAAAAAAATTATGGAAAATGCCACCAAAAAAGAAAAAGATTATAGTAAAGGCATCTATTTACCAAATGCATTCCATAATTATCTCAATAAAGGATCTTGAATTTTTTTCCAAATTTCAATTTAGTTGGAAAGTTATTCAAGTATTAAAGAGTCAAAATAAAATAAAAACAAAACAAAATAATCTAGGTTTCACATACTGAAAACTGCATTTAAACATTTTAGTACAAAGTCCGAAATCTGGACTTGTCGGGACTTCGGCGATTTTGGTTTTGGAATTTTTCCGGATATTAGATCATCAGTTTAAATCTAGTAAGATGGCATGTAGAAATTATAAAATTAAAAATATGAAATAATGAAGTATTTATGATCTAAAAGGTATCAAAATTTACAAAAAGAAAGCTTAATATTTATCTGTTTACTTTATTAAACATTTCTTTCAATGTAAGTTGTTTAAGTTGCTTTGTTTTTGTGCAAATACTTTTTCTTTAATTCTGCAGACAGACATAATCTCTTGTTTAATTACATTGTTGAAGTCCCGTAATTGCTGTTTCGAGAATTCCGACTAACTTTTCAATCGAAATTTTCTCATTTTTAATAACCTCTCTGCCACTTCCTTCACTATCGGTAGCAGTATTTTCTAGATCTAGAACCATATACAGATTTCACCATTCATTAATTGATTGATGATTGAGAAGCATTGTCATCACAATGAAAAACTTCTTTTATATCATCTTCATTTATTTCCGCTTCTCCACATTTCTTTACAAAATCCGTTGTGTGGAAAATTTCACCTTTGTTTTGCGATATCTGAAAACCTTTAAAATTAGCAGCCATCATCATCAAATTTAGCTATCTTTCACTATACATATTTTGCTATGCATCATGAGCTTGCCGACTAACGACAAGTTGTTCCGTTAAATTTTATCTTGCCTCTTTCGCACACTGAGACCATTAAGCCTGAATAGCATTAGTTTTATTTATTATACTTATGTCTATTTCTTGCATATGCTTAAGCTTATCAGAGTTCTGAATAAATAAATTCCCACATTTCTCCTCGTCAACACGTTTTAGTGCATTTAACTTAAATCTGTAATCATCGCCAAGCGTAATGTTAACATAAAAGGTTACCATACTCCTTTATTATTCAATAACTAACATAATAAAATTGTTTAGGCGTCATTACTCAAGTTGTCATGTTTTGATAAACATCCAGTGATGAAAGTATAATAAATAATGATTTGCCTGGTTGGCGTCAGATCAATGATGTATCTATGTGGAATGTTTCGGTTTAAGATGTGTCTGCCAAGCAGATACACAGCAACGGAGCGAAATTAATGATCGTACTAATTTATGCTAAAATGATTGTTTCTCCAATAACAAGGTATTTTATTTAGTGTCAAAGTGAAATTAAGAATCGGGACTCTCCAGATGTTTTATTACACATGGAGGGGGGAATCAAATGTGCATGAGTAAAGCCTATGAGAAAAAAATGTTGTTGGTGGTTTTAAGGTCCGGATAATGGACGTCCAGGTTTCGGACTTTCTACTGTACTAAGATCCAATCCATTTCATCAGCAGGAATATAAATAAATGGCCAATCATTTTATTGCTGTTTTGTTCTAACTTGCTGCATTTTTTAGAATTGATGTCTACATGTACAGAAGATTAAAAGGAAGGTCTCTATTGCAACTTCATATCGTCATAAAGTATATGGCCTTTCTAATTTTAAGGTTGGTTGCCAGGGTTTGGTGACCCCCCTTTTTTTTCTTTTCAGAAAAAAAAATCAGTCAACTGCATACTATGACCATCTTTTTATAAGATGTTTTAGATTTTAAAAGAATTGAATTTTAATAAAACTTCTTTACTTCACATATAAATAGAGATAAAATTATTAAATATCATGTTTTTCCTTGAAAAGTATAGAAGAAGTTAAGTAATAAAATAGCAACTACCTCAAAATTGAATGAATTACTTTATTTTAAGCTTTATTTTAAGCAAAAGTATGAGGTGTGTTCGAATGAAAAGTAACAAAAAATTGTAACAACTAAACCGGTTGAAATTTAAATATGCCGCTTTGGGATAATGTAGTGAGACATATAGGGATGTGAGTATGTTGTCTGGCATGGTTGTGTGCCTGCACATAAAACAGGAAAGAAGCAAGCAGTTGCATGTTCTGTCCAATTGAAGCGGCAGTATGTTTGAGAAGAACATGGCATTCATATGTGCACATCATATGCAAAATGTTAGTACAGTCGAACTCCATACATAACGAGCGAACCTTTTGGTCTTGTCCAATTTCCTATACACCTAAATGTTATTCTATACTCCCATACTGAACCTCTAAAGGTATGAAAATCGGATACAGTGAACTGTATGGATATTTTTGAGTGAAACTTGTGTCTTTTGTATTTGTTTCAGAATTTCTGGAAGTTTAAGTGAAAAATTATTACCCCTTAAAATCATCCACATTTAAGTGTTAGAATCCACATTTCATTCTTAAAAAAAAATCTATCTTCATCCCTACTTTTCTCAGTGTTATATACAAAGACTCAATAAGATAGGGGTGAACGCAGTTCTAGGAAAATGAGGATATACTAAGCATATCGTAGGACTATGGTATTACAAACCATTGTATCAAAAACACAAATGGGATCCTTGATTTCATTCACCTTTGACAACTCTATTCAAGGCTGATACTATAATGGAATTTTGAAATTTTCTACATTAAGGAGGTAAAGCAGTGAATCATATAAGCTTAAAGTCATATAGTTAATTCACCTCTGATGGAATGAGGTTTTGATCTGTATTGGTTTGTTTTATTTCAGTATAAATGCTCTCCAAGTTATGTCCTTCAAATAAGAGTTTTGCATTTGTTAGGTCTTTTAAAAGATATGGGATACTTTTTTTACAAAGTTACTTAATTTTTGCTTTGCAATAATGAATCAAATTTTCTTTTAATCTGGTTCATGGCAGCAGAAAGTTGCAGATTATTTATGTATTTAGAAGCTAAAATAAAAAAAAGATAAATTTATCAATATTTGTGTTATTTATTTTTAGTGTTTTACATTGTTATGAATGAAATAATTATATTTAGAGTGATAAATGGGTAATGTGAAGAAGGATCAGTAAAGTTATTAATGTATAGCGAAACTGGAAAAGAGCAACAAACATTTAATAACTATCTTAACATGACTTTTATAAATTAGATATATTATCAACTTCTTTTGATAGATATAACAATGTTAAAAATTTTGGGGAAGAGAAGGGGTGGCTATCACTTAATTTTTACAAATTTTTGTGAGATAATCAATTTTTTTATCAGATCGGATATAACAACCCAATGGTTATAACAGACTAAATTTCTAGCCCACTGAAGTTCATTATAGCTGGGTTCAACTATAAAATGAAACTGCACATTTTTTAGAACATGCATATTAAAGAAATTTGGCAGAAAGGAATTCTGATTTTGTTTAATTTTTGATATATGCTCATAACATTATGAAAAATTTTTTTAAGTAATGTTTAGTAGATTTTTATGAATAAAAAACAAATACCTGTACGCATCTCCACCATTAGGCACTCTTACTAAAACTACACTGTGACCAGTGTTTTCAAAAAGTTTTTGTTCTAATACTTCTAAGAGATCTGGTAAACCTGTACCATGTACAGCAGACACAAGAAGTGCATTTGAATCCATTGTATCAAACCTGTCATAAGGTTAAAATAAAACATTTATTTAAAATAATTGCAGGCACAGCATGAAAGAAAATCAAATAATATAGCATATATTTGTAAAGACACCTACTTGCATTGAAAAGATGTATAACATAAATGTTAATAAATTAAAAGGTGTTTGGGGGGAAAATATTACACACTTTCAAAAGAACTAGGTACTATAAAGTCCGAGATCCAAAATCATCAAGGCCAGAAGTTTTGGATCACCTGTTTAAATTTAGTACTTGTTTAAATTTAGTACATGTAAAAATTATAAAATTAAAAATATGAAATAGTTTTTTATGAAATAATGAAACATCTATGACCTTAAGGGAATTAAAATTTACCAAGAAAGCTCAATATTTACTTTTTTTTTGTTTTGATTAAACATTTCTTTTAATGTAAGCTGCTTCATTTTTTGTTAATTTCAGAGATAGGCATAATTTATTATTTAGCTACTAAGTTCCATAATTCAAGTTCTGTAACTGTCATGCTGAGAATTCAGAACTAAAGTATCAATCAAAATCTTTTAAACTCAAAAACCTCTTTGTCACTTTCTTCACTATTGCTAGTGATATTTTCTGAATCTAAAAACCATACAACAGGTATCATCATCTGTTAGTTGACTGCTGACGGGAACATAGTCATCACAATGGAAAACTTCAGTTACATTATCTTCATTTATTATAATTTCTCCACATTTCTTCAGAAATTCCATTAATTGGAAAATCACAACATGAAATCATGATTTCAACACAGTAAAATCTGTTTTCCTAACACTCCTGGGCACATATTTTATCTCTAGCATTTTTCCAAATAAGTATATATTAAGTACTTAGAACCAATGGCACAATGAAAAATTTCAACATCAGACGCAAATGGCAAAATTACAAATTTTAAATTCTTTTTAAATCACCTTCACATTAATGTCTGATTTATTAGACTTAAATTTTGAGCATTCTTTCATTTTTTACTTGAAGCATATGCCTCACACAGCCTAATTCAGCACAGTTTAGTCTAGAACACGAAGGAAATAAGAATTTAAATTTTAAGAAATAAAATAACTTCAATGATCTATATAAAAAGTGGAAAGGAGAATGCAGAGAAAAGGGAAGGAGAAATGGTCAATCAGAAAGCTATTTGGATCTTAGCTGACCAAATGGTTAGGTCATCAACACAACCTTTAACAGAACTGAGTTAGCATTGATGTAATTTTAAGAGTTTCAAAGTTAATTTTTTGTAATTCCTTAGAACAACTCTCCCCTCCCATCAATATATATATATATTGAGTTGAAAGTTATGATAATCAAACTTTTTTAGCAATAATTCATAAAAATTGTATACCTGTTGTATATTGTTTTAAATTAGTGCCTGAGTTACTCTAATACATTACAGACATGCATAACAAGTTATACTTACTACATATAGATACAGAAATGATAAACCAAATTTTAAAATCCTCAAGTACAAGGAATTAATTTCAAAATAGCAATATAAAACATAGTTCCTAACATTTCTCCAGATTACATAAAAAAAAAAAGTAAAATATACCTTTCAATTAAATCCACTTTATTTTGAACTTCTATTACAGAGTCCAGTAATTTAGATGGCAAATCTAATTCTGCTAATGTTTTCAAGACAGTTTCCTTTTGAGCTTCTGTGTCAGGATGGCTTATGTCTCGAACATGAACTACAACATCCTTTAACAAAATTTTGAAATTAATAGATGGGAAAAATATGTAAATGGTTTTTAAAGCCACAAATAAACACTGCAACAGAAAATTAAATTACTGTAATATCATTATATATATATATATATATATATGGACACAGACATTGTTATATTGCATTGTGTATATAGATATTGTTGTAAATTTTATAAATATTTATGACTATTTAAATGTATTGGTGTTCGCATTTATTGTTTATATTTAGCTATCTGTTTATTTGTTGCATTATTAGGTAATGATTTTAGGTTGCATTTTCTGTGTAACTGAATTTGTGGCCACAAATTTTGTACGAGTGCTTATTTCTAATGTAGAATTGTATGTAGATCTTTCAATTCTGAATCAAACAACATTTGTATGATTCAAATAGCTCAACTATGGGCAGAAATAGTCCTTAAAAGTCTTGGTGACAAGTTTTGCCACCAAGCTGGCATCATTTGGCAAACTTTTGCCAACTCTGAAAACTTTATGAATGATTTTCAAAAATGCATTTTCAAATAATTTTTCCTGAAATTTCTGGAAGCTTGAGCAACACCATATTAATACAGCTTTGGCAGCCAGCAAGTAGTTAGTTCTCAGAAAGACTGAGGCTCAAAGAGAATTGGCTGAATTGCATTTTACAGTTTACTTCATGATTTATATCAGGAGTTTATGATGTTTTCCATTTGTTATGGAGGATTTGTCTGATATCTGTATGCTCTTTGAATTATTTATAACTATTTATTTTGCTGTAATGGTAAAATTAATTACAAGAAATTGTTAATATCTTCCTGTTCATCTGGAGTGATTATTGGATCTCTTTTGTAAACTAGAAAAAGTGCAACTGTAGGTCTTTTGTCAAAGTAAGTGGTCATAAGGCAAGCTTTCATAAAGGAATGAATTCCTCAAAAAACCAAAACAAGCACCTTTTGTATTTTAGCAGCTCTAAATTTGCTGAAAAGTCTTGATATAAAGATCTTGATGATCAAAAGTCTTGATAAGAGGCATATGAGGAAAAAACTGAAGTCAATAAATTCATCCCCAAACTTTGCATGTACAGAAATTTCTAGCTAATTAAAGCATAACTAATAAAGATAGTTACTAATTTTATTTCCTGGGCACCACATAGAAAGTTTGATGCTCTTTCCTCTTTCTACAGAATTTTTCCTGTTCACAGATTTTAAGAAACTTTATATTTAGAAATATACATCTAGGATTAATAGTTAATGAAATTAAGTCAGAAGGTGCCTCTTCAAATTCCACGTACATACAAGTGTGAAAGAGATGTAATTATGAATTGAAGTTTAGCTAACATAATAAAAATAAAATCGGTACCTACTAGTTACACAAACCCTGGACATACACACGCTTTACTATAAGTAGCAAAATGATGATATGTCACCCATAAATTGTCTGCCTGCTTGTTGTAACTATAGCTTTAAGATTCAGTATATAACATAATAAAAATGAAAATGAATTTTCTCCATATTTGGGCAAGCAGTGGGTAAAATACAAGTTCAGAGATAAAAAATCAAGTCGAGGAGACCATCATCACAGTCAGCTTTGCTACTGTAAATGATTAAAATATCTCCAGAGTCAGTATAACTAATAAGCACCATGATATTTAATAACAAATGTAAAGACTTACAATTTTTAAAATAAGAACAATTCAAGAAAAGTTTGCATATTTTATTTATACTAACCACTGTTAATTCCCTGCAGCTTAACTGCCTGCTTTATATATTCATCTAAAGGAATTGTATATAGAGAATATCGAAAACGTCTTAGTATTGAATTTAATCAATCAACTTAGTGAAGCTGAAATACAATAAGTGGTGACAATGGTTACTAACAAATTTCTAGTTACTTCCATTAAAATAACACTTGTGGCAGAAAGAGATTTGAAAGTAGTAATTATTTATTTGATTTTATATAGTCAAAAGTTGCAGTACAATATTAATGGTTAAACAGAAAGAAGGGAGAAAGTCTTTCATTCTTTTTTTAGGGGGGGGGCATAATGCAACTGTTGACAATCTACTTATCACAATCAAAAACATCACTCCATATCTGCAGATTATTTTCTACTCCCTTAAGTTAAATCTGATCTTAAAAGTGAACATTTTAAGAGCATTTCAGGAATTCAGAAAAACTATAATAATGAGATAATTCTGAAAATTCATGTCTATGAAACACTCTGGAAGTTCTATGAATGAACCAAAAGACAGAATATTAGAAGGAATATATGTAAGTGGATAAACAGATATCAGATGAGCATTAAAAAAAAAAAAGCAAATTTTACTGTTTGCATGTAAAATCTTTATTTTTTAAACATAAAAAATACACTGACATCACCTAATACAGAAAGAAAGTATAAGTTTGCTGTGTCGAACATGCTACATAGATATGCCTTTAAGTTTCCAGCTTCAAGTATAAAAAAATTATTTGGCAGTAAATTCCTCTTGCAGATATGCAGTGGCAGTATTAAATGAATAAATCTAAAATGGCAAGCATTCTTTCTTGATTGTTTATGATGAGATGATGAGATACTAGATATGAAATGTTTAAAACTGAGTATCGTTCTGCACTCAAATCTTTGACTAAAGAAGATCATAATCCTGAAGAAATGAAATAACACTTGCATCATGGGTATGGCGATTCATCTTTTTATTCCACAATAAAGAATGGGTGACATTTTACAAAGGCCAAGAATACACAGATGATGATTCTAATGAAGGTCGACCATTGGAGGCTTTGAAATTGCATGACCACTGCAGGCACTGGCATAAAAAATATTGCTCAAGGTCCAGAAGAAAATATCGAGTGATGGGAATAAGAAGATAGCAACAAGACTGGATCTATCTAAAACTGTTTTGCACATTTTACGTGAACATCATTATATGAATAAAATAGTTAAGAAATTAATAGCTTCCAATTTCTTTCAGCAATTTGAAAACAGCAACATGTCAAGTGAATACAGAAATAGCAATGTAAGTTTAAGGAACCAACTGCTTTCTTTACAACTCAGATTTAGCCTCAAGTGATTATTTTCTAGTCTTCAAATAGCTATTTTACCATCATGAGAAAAGATTTAATGATGATGATGAATGGCATGAAAACAGCAGCATGGAACATTGTGAAGACAAACCATCAGCAAACCTTACTTCTTTAGGGGCATATAGTTGCTCATTAAATAGTGTGAAAAAATAGAAGGATATCATATTTAAAAGTAAACTATTAAAATTTTTACCATTTCTTTTAGAAGTACATCAGTGCAAGAAACTTTTGGCTCAACATTTATATGTATGTTCTTGTTTAATCCTATGAGTGACATGGCTTTTTGGATCTACTCATGAACACGTATATTAAAACAGATTTTATTAGCGAAATTTTTACAATTACTTATGTCAGTTTCTGTTTTCATAAACTTCCATTCATTGAGATGATATTTACATTAAAGACAGTAAGAAAATAAAATATTTTAAATTATAATCTAATATATAGCAAATGGTAAAAAATCACATGACCAGATAAAGATGGCCATGCCACCTAGAAGGTTAAACACATCAAAATTACACAGTTTTGCGTTCCTGGCAGGTTACAGCTGTACAACATATACAGAATGCACTACTGCAAGAAGTTGTTGCTTAAGTTCTAGTAGCATAATAGATAAATAGTGCACACATAACACCTCTGATGAACCCAGAGGAAAAAGTACCAGGCAGAGAAATATTTAGGAAATTTAGTCTGGAAAGCTTGGAAACAATCATCTTGCATTGCAACTGATTCAATGTTGAAGAATAGTTATGTTGAAATAAAATACTTAAACTGGAATTGAGGAATATAATCTTTCTTCTCACTACAAAAAAAAAAAAAAGGGGGGGTAGAAAAAAAGAACACTTTCTGAATTTTTATTGGTGCATTAAGAGGTTAACACAATTCAAAATATTTTAATTATACAATTGCAATCATTAAAAATCATATATTCATTGCAAAGCACATAATAATTTTAAAGTGGAAATATGAATAAGTAGTGATTTTTAGTAGACATATTAGAAGTATGCCAACTCTAAAACTAAGTAAAATTCAAATTAGACTAGTAATCATTTTATTAAAAAGTTCAATACAATTTGAAAGAAACAAATTTAAATGAAGATGTTTCAGAAAAATGAGCTTTTACGTACAGTGGCTCACAAAAATAATCAGACACTTTAGGTTTTTTATATTCTTTAATAAATATAAATCTAAAATAATTTAAAACAAAAAGAAAGGATTTTATTTTGATTATATATAAATTATACACTATTTATAGTAAATACATTTTTGAAAAGATAAATTCAAAAATCAATATTGTTTGTTTAATGGGGAAAAATATTCCCACAAAAATAATTGGACACCTTTTAGAAACAGCCAAAAATGAGAAACATTTGGACTGTTTTTGCTTCTTAACATCTTGTGAGATTACTTTTACACTTGATCACTTCATTTAATCTTTAGGCATTAAATCCACAAGTTTTTTTTTTTTTTTTTTTCGTTGTTATTTTTAAACTTATTTTATGCCACTTCTCTTGAATCACTTCTTTCAGTTGCTGCCGGGAAGATATACCCTTTTCAAATTTTTGACTCTAGTTCCTGCTAAATATGTTCAATAGGATTAAGATCTGGTAACTGGAGTGGTGACATAATTACTTCTGGACACTTGTATAACAGCCAGTGTCTGACATTGTATACAGTATGCTTTGAATTATTATCCTGGTAGAATTTAAAACTACTTTGTATATTAAGTTTTCATGCTGGCGATGCCAAATTTTACATCAGGGTACTTATACTCATCCATAATAACATCTATAAAGTCTATACTACCAACACCGGAATCTGCCATAGATCCCCATACCATAACTCCTCCTCTGCTGCATTTAACACCTGGTATTAAGTTTTGCTTCTGAAATTTTTCTTTGGGCTTTCTCCTGTGCCAAAGATGTTAAATTTGCTTTCAGCAGCACACAATACTTTTTTTCAGTAGTCAGGTGTCTTTTGTTTCATTGATTTTGTGAAAGTAAGACAAAGTTTTCAGTTTTCTTAAAAATTTATTTATTTATTTATTTATTTCACTGATATAAATTCTATTTATAAATTCTAAATATTTCTTCTTGCTACTTGCCCATGATATCCTGCAGATGGCATTTCTCTTCTTACAGTTTCTGGATTTACACATATTCCATATAATTCATAAAGTTCTGCAACAAATTCAGAAGCATTCACTCTTGAATTGTTTTTAATATTTCTTAGAATAAAGCATTTCCACTTCATCTGATAACTTAGGTGGTCTTCTAGGTCTTCTTTTGTACTGAATATGAATATGCTTCTTATAACACTTTATATTATCAAAAATTGTAGAATTACTTAAATTAAGTAAAAGTAATTTTATTATAGGTTTCCCTTTTTTTTATGCAAATCAATAACTAATCTGTGGGATTTGTGTGTTTCTAACTATGTTTCTTTTCATGGCTAAGCCATTTTAGAAAACATTAAAATATTGAATATTTTCTAACAAGGAAATTCGCATTATAAAAATAAACAATTTTTAGATTTTTGCATAGCTTCTTTATTGAAACTAATTCCACAAATTTTTAATGCAGACGATTTTAATTAGAAATTATGAAAATGTCCAATTAACTTTTTGGTATCTTTATCTTCCATTTCAAGTAAAATGTTATTTTTTAAATTTACAATTTTATTTTGTTAAATTTATTTAGTAGAAAGAGAGAGCTAAGAAAATATGTATTCAAAGGGAAAATATTATTTTATTTCAAAACTTTTTCGTCTATTACTTGAAAAATACAAAAATTATAGTAGCTGATCATTTTTGTGAGACATTGTAAATATATAAATTGATGCTTATTTTATATTATCTCAAAAATACTTCATTTTTCTATAATTAATAATACCAATCTAAGGCTGAATTTAATTTCATTTAATGTTACTCCTCTATTTTCAAGTACAAAGGAGACTAAAATAATACATTAATTAACTTTTCTGCTCTATGTATTTTTTCTGCAATAAATACACACAAAGCAAAAGTATTTTATTACTTCTTTGCAATAGATAATAAGATGTTTGTAATTTTATGATACAAATACTCTAGGATCTGTCAAATAATAAACGATGAAATTTTCATATCCACAAAGGTTTAAAATCAGATACACAAAAACCTTCACTGCTGGAAAAATATCTTGTAAAAGTTATCTTATGAGTTACTTACTGCTAAAGTTATCTCTTCTAACGTTGATCTAAATGATTGAATTAGGGCAGTTGGAACATCAGAAATGAAACCTACAGTATCAATGTAAAGGACTTTTTGATTTGAAGGAAGCATCCCAGCATGGAATGTAACATCTAATGTAGCAAACAATTTATCTTCTGGTAACAAGCGTTCATCATCAGTTAATGATTTGATTAAAGTAGTTTTACCTGAAAATAAGCCCATCTTTAATAAAGCTAACCATTTACATACACAGCTAACAGCATAAAGCATTTCAACACATTTTTCATTTTTAAGATATTGTCATATATTTTCAAAGTGTCACACATTTTCATAGCAGTTTCCAGTAGTCATATTAAAATAACACATTAAAAAAAATCCCATTAGACTTATAATTTTTATATTTTACTACATGAATATTTTTGATTACTTAATGCTTGCAAACTTTTACTTAGCGTATTATTTTTATATGTTCTTTATAGTTTTCAATTTTTAATGTGATTTTGCAGCATATAACAAAGATAAAGAATTGTTAGCTTAAATTTGATAAAAGAAATGCAAAAATTATATGGTCCCAAGCTAAATATTTTTTACACCTAGTACATTGTTCCTATACATGCATCAACTATGAGTAACTGCTGAAACTATTTCATATTATTCTTGAAATTAATTAAAATGACTAAAATAATTGTATTTATTCATTTTATTTACACATGATAAAGAAGCAATTTAATATAAGATAATTATTGCATATTCTTATAACACTTTGCTAAAAACATTATTATTTTTTTACATGCTAATACAAATAGAGTAAAAACCCCAGTTTACAAATTTAATTTGTTCCTAAAGGCTGCTTCCTGAAATGTCTTTAAAGTAAAACAGTTTTTCCAAGAGGATTAATATAAAATTTGCTTCATTTCTAAACTATAGGTAATTGCTTATTTAAAGATTTAAAAGAGTAGTTTGTGCCCAGTTTCACAACAAAAGTTCCAAAAATTCACAGAAATCATTAAATTTATGATACACAAAATACACATAATATGAAACAGATTAAACATATGAAAACTAGCCTGTACAGAAAAGAACTGATGGCATTACATGGAAGATGGAAAGAAAGTTAAAAGAAAGAAATGTTACCCATTGGATAGGAGTCCATCAATAACTGTCTTTCTGGGATTTCTTTATCTCTTAGTGCCACTTGAACCTGCTTGCGATTTACTAAATGTGTCCAATGTGATATTTTTTTTTTTTTTTTCAAGGAGGTTAGAATAGAAGAGAGAGTAACTCAGAAAGTGAGTCCTCACCTCTGTGTTTTGTCATAGTAATTTTTATTTTTTATTTTTGAAATAAGGGATCTCATATTGCATAAAGATATACAAAGAGAACATCTAAAGGGATTCCTATGATTATTTTTCACACATTAACTTTTTCACGTTATTTGGTAAACTGTTGAAAAAAATATCTCTGCATCATGTATTTTCTATTCAAGATGTAAAAATAAAAAAATTAAAAAAAAAAAAAAAACTTAATAGTAATCAAATTATATTAAATACATTTTTCTGTTCTTGTTTATAATTGATATCACTGTTCCTTAACATGTAGTGATATATGCTAGGATTTAAACTATGTTATTTGAACACTTTAAAGAATTTGCCTGATAATCTTCATGAAAAGTTAGAAACTGATTTTTATGAATTGTAAAAGTGTTAAATAAAGTGAATTTAATTTATATGCATTATTGATCAGAGATTTTTGAAATATTGTGAACTATTGCAAATATAATTTGTGCATTTGTTCACGAAAAACTGTTCTATAGTCATAAATTGTTTATATAAATGTGCTTATGCTGAAAGCTTATAAATTTCTATTCAATTTAGCAATAAAAGTACGTAAACTTTTTATCAAAATTGAGCATTTGAAAAGATATATCCAAAAAATAATGCACTTTCTTAAACTGAGCTTGAATTCAAGCAAGTTAATTTCTTTTACTGAGATTTATATATATGAAATATGGGTAAAATTAAGACACTGAATTTTGATAAATCTATTTAATTTTGTTTTAATATTTACTATTTACTGATGCTATATTACTTATATGAAACTATGCAAATATTAAAAATTATGTGAATTTTCATTTTAGTATATTATGGCTTAAAGCTTAACTATAAAGCATACTAAAACAAAACAACTTTCCTATTCCTGAAATATTTTTTATTAAATTATGATAATATTGTGAATAAATTAGAAATATCTGTTCTTTAAAGAAAAAACTGGAAAATAAAACTTAATGGATAATTAATAAAGCCTAAGTAAGTCTTTAAAATATGCATAAACATCATTTTAAATGCTATACACATGCATTTAGCCTTCTCAGTGTTTCATGATAAATTCCTGTACATGGTACATCATAGATGTCAACTTTATTGCTTTAAAACAAAATTTTAACAGCATCACAAAATTCCCCTGTAAACTTAACACATTTTTCCTTCTATTCTAACCTTCCAGGTTTTTGTATGTGTTTTTAAAACATTTCTAAAGTGAGAGAGGGCACTGTTATTGAAAATGCTTATGTTGTTGCTTGCTAATGTTTTAACATCATAATCTCATTCAGTGCTACTCTGTACTTCCCCCTATTTTACACAACTTTTGCAGATCGAGGAATTAGAATCATGTTTCTGTATTTCTTTTCCCTCTAAAGACATTACCTTCACAATCGCCTTTTACTGCTGCTTCTAATACTGTAGCAGTTCTTTCATACTAAGCTCATTCTTTTCCCCTCTTATAAACTCCTTCATGTCTTCATTGTTAATTTTCAAGCCCATAGTTTTACCTAGGAACACAATATTATAAAGCCTCTGTTTTCAATATAATCTGCCCATAATTTCTTCCAAGCTGAATTCATGACACTATAAGTCACTTGCTGCCACGCTTTATCAATCAAAAATTAAGCAATGGAGAATATTAAAAAAATATTTCCAAAAATCTCTGAATGATAGTTCTGTGTCACTTCTCAATGTTTAGATCATTTTCAACATAATCAAATCAATCCATCTAACTGGGGATCTACCCCAAGGTCTGGTTCTCATGGTCTTTGCCAGAAAGATTTTCTTAAAACACTCATTTTCATGTATTCTGGCCAGATGAAAAGCCCATTTTAGTCTGTAGTTTAAAGAATTTTACTACATCATGTTGTCTATAGATTGTCTATAGACCTTATATAGCTCACGATTAGATCTTCTCCACGATCGATTCACATGGACCCTACAGATCACATCACTTAGAAGAATATTATATATTCAAATAATTCCAAGTAAGGAAGCATTATCAAATTACTGCTTTTTATGCAGGAGAGAAGTAACAGTCCATAAAGGGAAGATAACATAAACATAAAAATTTTGGTTAAACAACTTTGTTTTAATTACCTAAAAGTTTATCATGAAACTGCAGTACTTCACTTGGAAACAATTCATCACTGATATCAATGGCTGCAGTAGTAAAAAGAACAGAATACTATATCACTGAAATGGAAATTTATATAGTGCAGTGGGTGATTGGTTAACGAACATAATCTGTTACAACAAGACTAATGTTCACTATCTGAATTGTTTGTTAACCAATCATCAATTTACCACAGGTTTTTTTTTTTTTTTTTTTTTTTGTGTGTGTGTGTGTGTGTGTGTTGTGTGAAATCTGTTGGGTAGAGGCGAGCGAATGTTTTTTCTTATACGCATGCGTATTAATTATGATGGCGTAGCTGTCTCTTCTACCGACGCATCCGTCATTCGAGCGTATGGAGATGGTGAGATGTTACTTGCTGTGTGATGGTCAATATGATTTCCTGTATGACCTTTTTATTCATTATTCGTGTAAATAAAGTGTGTTGTCATACGATGGCTTCTTTACTGTAAATATTGGCCTCTGAACAACAAATGGTAGCAGAGTGTGGTTTTGTCAAGAAGAATTGGATATAAGAGACCAAGTCAAAACCGAAACTGTCTTAGTGGAAGCCAAAAATGGAGAAGTGGAACGTTCCCGAATTAACTGGAGAGAACTATTTTATTTGGTCATTGAAAATTAAAGCTGCCTTATCACTGAAAAGACTTGACTCGGTAATTTCAACAGTAAAAACCAGAAAATTTAGACGAGAAAGATGAAAGATTGTGGAATGAGAAAAAAACGCTGACGCCGTAGCATATATAAAACTTTCACTATCGGATCAACAGGCGCTTCAGTTCTCCACAGAAGAGAATGCAAAAATTCTTTGGGAAAAAATAAAGTCAACATTTATGGGACAAGCCGAAGATCGAAAAATAGATGCTGGTAATGAGTTAAAAAATTTAGAAATGAAGTTGCATGAGTCGGCTAATGATTATATCGCAAGAGCGAGAGGAATAGCAACTAAGTGCCAATCGCTAGGACTAGATGTATCTCCTCGGGAACTGGTGTTTTACACAGTCCGTGGACTTCGTGGAAAATTCTCTCGAATTAGGGAAATTGTAAAAACTCAGCATGAAAAAACAATTGATGAAGTACTTCGAAATACTCCGTGAGGAAGAGTCCTGTTCACAATTCAACGAATGGGGGAAAACGACCTGATGGAAACAACGCAGAGGCATTCATATCAAGAAGGAATAAAAACTATAAGCCAAGACTTTTAATTTGCCGTTACATTTGCCGACGACCTGGTCACATCGCGAAGGACTGCTATTACAGAAACAAGAATCCAAAAAGTGAGTTATCCAAAGGTAACAAGGAAAGAAAGAAGTCACAACCTACAAGTGTGAACGTTTCATCTCGTTCTGATGAAAAGAGAAAGTGATTTTGCTTTCAACTTACGCGTGAAAAAAAAAATGATGAATGTGATAAAATTTGGTTGCTGGATAGTGGTGCAACTGGACACATGGCAAAAGACTTCTTTTGGTTTTCAGAATATTACACCAGAGGTGAGGGAATTTACCAGGCAGGTAAACATTCAAAAAATACTTTCAGAAGGTATTGGTACTGTTAAAGCAAAAAGCTATAAATACAAAGAATTCTAGTTTTATTAATTTAACTATTAGTAATGTTAGTTATATTCCTGATTTAAGAAATAACTTATTGTCACTCACTGCCTTAATGGATAAAGGATGTAAAATTGAATCAAGGAATAATTCTGTATTAGTTTTTAGTAGGTGTAATGAATTACTTTTTAAAGCATTTAAGAATAACGGTAGGCTTGAAGTTAATTTAGAACCATATTATAATTCTGAATCTTGCATTGCTAATGATTGTACTGGTAATAATTATGAAGCTTTGGCATAGTAGATTGTGCCATTTAAATCCAAAATATATGCTTAAAATGAAAGAATACATTGATATTAATGATGTAAGTGATTTTAAGTGTGAAACTTGTGACATAAGTAAAATAACTAGAAAAAGTCATCCAAATATTGACATTAATCAGAGTTCAGAAATTTTAGAATTAATTCATTCGGATCTATGTGGCCCTGTTCAAACTGAATCAATTGGTGGGTCTAAATATTTTATGATCTTAGTGGATGATTTTTCTGGAATGTATTTTACTTATTTTCTTAAAAGTAAAAGTGAAGTGTTTGACGCATTTTTGTAAATTTTAAAGCTAAGTATGAAAATTTAACTGGTAAAAGAATTAAACGTTTGAGAACAGACAATGGTTTAGAATTTGTAAATCAACAATTAGATAATTATCTTGCTAATTCAGGTATTTTTCATGAAAAAAACAATTCCATATAACAGTGAGAGTAATGGGAAAGCTGAACGGGCAAACAGAGTTCTTTTAGAAAGAGCTAGGACATTAATTACTACATGAGAGTGAGCTTCCGGTAAAATTTCTGGGCAGAAGCAATTAATTTTAGTACTCAAGTATCAAATTTAACACCCCGGAAAGGAAAAGAAAAAATTCCTTTAGAAATTTGGACTGGTAAAAACCCAAATTAAACTATCTAAAAAGGTTTGGATGTGTGGCATACTTTCACATTCCGAAAGTAATGCGAAACAAATTTGACATACCAGGGAAAAAGAGGGATAATGTTAGGATATGCTAGAGAAAGAAAAGGATATCGTATTTATGATATAGCAAGTAATAAAATAATTGAAGAACGATCAGTTAAATTTAACGAATCTTTAAAGGGTAGTAATTATATGGGAAAAAATAAAACCTTAGAAACTTGGGATATTGAAGAATTAAAAGGAAGGGGAAACGAAGTAGATCAAAAACCACACCTCGAATTGGTTGTTACGGAAAATACCCAAGCAAGCGAATATGATGACTCATCGAATTTCGAAATCGCCGACATAAGCCGTTGTAGCGGGGGTGATGACAGGGGGAATAAAGTCCAAACATCTGATAGCTATGAAAAAAGTAATAAATATGGAAATGAAATACCATTAAGACGATCCGAGAGGGCTCAAATCAAAACAACTAGCGTCAAGTATAATCAGTAATGTTCCGAATGATTTTTTCAGAAGCAAAACAAAGTGCTAATTGGTATGACTGGAAAATCCGCAATGGAAAATGAATTAGATTCATTACATAAACACAAAGTGTGGGAAATAGTAGAGAGGCCTGAAAAAACAAAATTAGTAAAAAGTAAGTTACAAAATTGGGTAAAGTATTACTTTGAAGGAAGGAGACTCTGGGGAAGTAAAATATAAAGCGCGATTAGTAGCGGCTGGGTTTAATCAAATAAAAAATAAGGATTATACCGAATCATATTCACCAGTAGTTAACATTGAAGTGTTTTAGATTATTGCTTGCACTTTCAGCTAAATTAAACTTGACTGTTAAATTTTATGATGTAAAAACAGCGTACTTGTACAGTGACTTAAACGAGGATGTGTATATGACTCCTCCACCTGGTTATGAAAAACTGATTGGAGAAGGTAAAGTATGTAAATTGAAGAAAAGTATTTATGGGTTGCCTCAATCCGGGTAGAAATTGGTATATGAAAATAAAAAATGAATTAGAAAAACTTCGGCTGGTACAGTTAGCATCTGATAATTGTATATTCATTTATAATGATAAAAAAACATTTTTATATTGTGTTTGTATGTTGATGATTTAGCTGTATTCTGTAATAATAAAGAAATGCTTGAAAATATTGTTTCTAAAATAAAAAATGTATTTGAGTTACATGAAAATACTAATTCAAAATTTTTAGGTAATGCAAATAGAAAAACTTGAAAATGGTATATGTTTGTCTCAAACAGAATATATTGAATCTTTATTGACTAAACACAATCTGGAAAATTGTCTAAAGCAGTAAAAACGCCAATCGTTAAAGGGGCAGATAAAGGTTTTTTCATGTACAAATGAAAAAATTGAAGCAATTTTGTATCAGGAATTAATTGGGGAACTTTTATATTTAGCGAATAGAAACGGGTCCTGATATATCATTTGTAACAACTTATTTGTCACAATTTAATCATGTACCAGAAAAAAGGCATTATCTTTTGGCTAAAAGGGTAAAAGGGATTAAGGTATTTAAAAGGTATAAAAATAAAAAACTTTTCTATAGCAATGATTTTGGAGTTTTAAATGCATATGCTGATGCTAGCTGGGGAAAATGCATGCAGAAATGGTAAGTCATTTTCTGGTGGTACTATTTTACTAGGTGATTCATTGATTTCTTGGAAATGTCGTAAGCAGAGAAGTGTTAGTCTGTCTACTTGTGAAGCAGAATTATTTTCTATTTCTGAAATTTGTAAGGATATTATTTGAACTGTAAATTTATTATCAGAATTAAAATGTAAACAATTTTTGAATGGTGCAGTGGTCTTGAATACAGACAGTCAAGCTGCCATCCAGTGGATCAACTATGCAAGATCTTCTACGAAATCCAGACACATAAACTTACGTTTCCATTTTATGAAGGACTTAACAAAGGACAATGTCATTAAGTTGGAATATTCACAAACTGATAATATGATTGCAGATTTTCTTACTAAGAGTGTTAGTGAAGAAAAATTAATGTATACATTGAAAGTAATTTCCTTAATTTCTTAATGTAATGTGTTATATATTGTTTGTATTTCATTTTTGTATTGAAAAAATGTTGCTCACAGGAGGGGTGTGTTGGGTAGAGGCGAGAGAACGTTTTTTCTTATAAGCATGCATATTAATTATGATGGCACAGCTGTCTCTTCTACCGATGCATCCATCATTCGAGCTTCGAGCGTATGGAGATGGTGAGATGTTACTTGCTGTGTGATGGTCAATATGATTTCCTGTGTGATCTTTTTATTCATTATTCATGTAAATAAAGTGTGTTGTCATACGACGGCTTCTTTACTGTAAATATTGGCCTCTGAACAACAAAATCAATTAATTTGTTCTGGAGACCCGATGTATAATTTCTTAGTAAGTTTATTAACAAAATAAAACATAAATATAGTCTTAAATATTAATCAGTCCTTTTGATTTTTTGTTTATGGGGTGTTAAAGAACATGTCTAATGCTAGTTGCTTTTCTCTCTTTTTCAGGATTTTTCAGAAATGATTAGTAGCATTGTCACTGTAAAGATCCCCAACCGTACTGACATCAGCTTGGTTTGGGTGCTATTCTAAAACCAATGTTCTGACATCCTCCCACTTCTTCAAAAGATCTTTAATGGCAGATGTAGGCATTGGTCCTCTTTCCTCTTCCTCACACACATTTCGCTGTGTTTCTTGGTATCCTTCATTCAAGATTTGATGGAATTCTTCTGTTGTCAGTTCATCTTCATGTTCCATTATGAACTCTTCTATGTCATCCTCATTCATCTCTAATTCCAGATCTCTAGCAATTGTCAAAATTTCATCCATAATTTTAGAGGTGTCTCCCTGATCACCTCTGTCTCCTTGAAAGAAGGATGAACACAGATTTTGCAATTTTTTTTTTTTTTTTTCAGTATAGTACTTTGAGGTTTAATAGGCAAGCAACATAATTCAAGAGAGATGAAAAACAATTTTTGCTCTGTTGGGTATGGCAAACCTGCACATTATGCTCAAAGAGCCTGTTCATTAGAATTCGTTTTAGTTCATTATCCGAATATGTGTTCATTGTCCGAACACAAAAATCTTTCGCGAAAGTGTTCGCTGTCCGATTTGTTTGCTGTCCGAACTGTTCGTTAATCGATCACTCACTGTATATGGATGAGCCACAATTCTACAAAATCCTGCATAATATGCAAATATGCAATAATATCCTTTATAATATGCAGGATGCTTAGGAAATTCTGTGTATTGAATATTTTGTTTTAGAATGTACTAAAGAATGCTTTACTTAAGATTCTATTAAACTTATTTATATTCATACTGAGACATATCTGAAAACAAAAATATACCTCATTTTTTAATAATTTTCTGTGTCATTTGTTATAGAAAAAAAAAAACTGTACAGCCATTGTGACGTTCAATTTGCTCAGAAGACACCACAATTTACTTGACATGGAAGATAATAAGATACATCATTAATTAAAACATATATTGAATATAGTCACTTGTTTAGAATTTCATCAAGCCTTATTATTATCTTCTATGGATAATATTTAAATATAAATAGAAAATAAATGGAATGAAATTTCACAAACAGTCCTCTAGAATCTTCACAGTTCAATGCTATATTATAAGGGTGATATTATTACAGCTCATGTTACACATGTTTGATTCTACGCATTGTCTTTTTTTAGCCTGTGACTTAAGCATATCTCAAAAATCATGCTCAATGTATTACATGATTTGCTCATTTATTTTTCAGTATATTTACATACCCTTTACATGATTTATTCAGTCTAATAAATTTTCTTTTATTAAATCAAATTATGTCAATCTATTAAATAGAGCAAATGCCAATAAAATGTCTCATAAACTTTATTTTGTTGCCATACACTTTTATTTTATGCTGCAGTTTTTGGAAATAGCAGTCTATAATTCTTTCTAAATTAAATATTACTAGAGTCATACATTTTAATCAATAGTAATAGAATATTTAAAAAATACATTACCACAATTTGTATAACCAACAATAGCAACAACAGGTAAAGAATTTCTTCTATCACTCCTCCGCAAAAGCTCACGTTGATTTTTCACTTTTTCAAGTGCTTTCTTCAATTTTATTTCCCTTTCCTATAAAATAATTGTTTAAAAAATTAAATTACAAAAGTTAAACTATTTTAATATAAAATTGAAGTACTAAAAAAATTATGTTTGAATAAAAAGGAAAAATGTTTAGTTTAGTTAATATAATAACAGCTAGAGTTACTATATCATCAATACTTTAAAAATTAGAAAGCTCTTAAAATACTTTCATATTATTTATACAAATATGATATAAACTACATAATTTTCTAAGCTATTTTAACCATTCAAAATATCTGCATTAAATAAACATTTTGCCATTTTTATTAGTTTTTTAAAAATTAATACATTTTATTACCAGGAAAGAATATTATTATTAAACATACATTTAATAGTCGTCTACGCATCTCCATGTATGTTTCTCCATCACCACCCACGTGTTCAATGCCACTAAAATAACTAGTATTTCTAGTATAAGAGTAACCAGAAAGCTTCACTCTAAAAAAATAAATAAATAAAATAATTCTTAATGCCAAACAAAATGTCTATTCCAAAATGATATTTTTAATTTTTTCTGGATTTAGTCACTTTACCGTAGATAAGGAATTTCAGCTAAAGCAAGCTGTAGTTTAGCTTCCTTTGTATGGGCATGATCATGGAATATTTGAAGAATGATCTGATACCTGTAATGCAAATTAACAATATATTTATGAAGTAATTATTTAAATTAGAAACACGCACAATGGTTTGAAAATAGTTCCGCAGGTAATATATTATTACTATATATTTACTAAATTAAGATACAAAAAGTTACATAGTATATAAAACAATTGGTAGTCATATGTGATCTGCAATTTTCTGTTAGTTATTACTTAGACACGAAATTAAAACACTGCTTTTAAACTGAATGTGAATCAGATGAAAAGAAAAAGAAATGATTAAAACAATAACCTAACTTGTGCCACCGTTTAAAAAGTAACTAACTAACAAAAAGTGGTATATCGCATGCTACATGATTATGCAACAATCTACAGGGTGTTTATAAAGTCCTGAACCCATTTTGATGTTTAATAACTCATAAAATAATGAAAATAGAAACAAACTTATGGCATTTATTGATGGAATAACTTATATATTTTCCTTTTCAGGTTTAAATGTCTTTGCTTTTGTAAATATGGTCTGTGCGTGTAGTTAATTTCAGATAATTTCATTTTCCAGTCTAAATATCTGTACTTTTCTAAATATTGCCTGCTTATTAATTGCAATTTTCTCTCTTTCGTTTTTGGCAACTATTGCAATGTTACGTTCTGATATAACGCTGCTGGAATTTTTCCTTTGGGGATTTGTAAAGGACAATGTTTACAGGCGGAGAGTGTTGAACACTGATGACCTAAAAGCCAGAATTAGAACCGCAATAGCCTCTGTGGATGCCGGCATGCTTGCCGATACCTGGCATGAAATTGAATATCGACTTGATATTCTTCATGCAATGAAGGGGGCACACATGGAAGTTCATTGGTAAGGCTCATGAAACTTTTTGAGTCTATCTAACCATTTACGTTATTAATTTTAATCTATCTTTATTATTTTATGAGTTATTAAACATCAAAATGGGTCCACGACTTTATAAACACCCTGTACAATAACATACCTATATTGTATTTCTAAAAGTCCTTATACTGCATTAATTTTCACAACTATCAGTCATAAACACATACTTACACAGTCACAAAATTACAATGTTTATACAGTAGTTTAAAAAAGGAAAATACTCATGGTATAGCATTTTTCAATTTAGAAAATCAACTCTGTAGAATTACAAAACCTAATTTTTTTACACGACTTTCTGCATCCTATAGTTATATTTAGGAAATATTTATGCAATGGAATATCAGATCATGAATGCCACTCATTATGGAAAATTTGGTTTACAAATAAATTATCTGAATAAAAGACATATTGGGTGATGAAGACTGTCTTGAATTATGAAGGCAGTAACAAATGATTTTAAAATCAGGGCGAACTCTGCTAAATATTTCAGGTTGAGATGCATGCCAAACAAAGATAACACATTATCAATTATACAAATTTAAACTAATAAATGATTGTGTTTAACACAAAGATGTTATATTAAGTGAACTGAAATTAAGAATCAGGAGCTTTCATATAATTTATTATAATAAAATATCAACAATGCATTCATGAAATATTATGCCAAGTCTAAAGTGAGACACTACTTTTGAAATCTAATTCTTTCTCCCTTTCTGAACAAAAAAAAAAAAAAAAACCTGACAGTGTCTAGGAGGTCTGGATTTCAGACTTTGTACAGTACTTCTAACAAGCATAAAAGTAATCTAAGATTGAAATCTGTATGCACTTTCAAAGAATATGTGATACATTTTTAAACCTTCATGTACATAAATTCAGAATACATTTCTACTACAAGATGGTAATGCTTAACCATACCAGATAAAGCTGATTATAAAAAAAACTATCATACTTATACACTTGTTCTTTAAATATTCAACCTATCAAACACAATTTTAATACTTTTAACTGCAATGGTAACCTTGCAACAGATTTGGTTTTAAAGAGCTTTGCAGAAGGCCTTTCTTTTTACATTCAAGATAGCACTATAATTATATGAAAATGCATTGTAACCACTACAGGACAAAGTCCGTAATCTGGAATCGTCAAAGTCTCGACAAGTCCGGATTAGCGGTTTTTTTGGATTATAGATCATCAATTCAAATCTGGTAAGATGGCATGCAGAAATTATAAAATTAAAAATATGAAAACGTAATTTATGAAATAAAGAGCAATTATGATCAAAAGGGTATCATAATTTACAAAAAAAAAGCTTAATATTTATTTGTTTACTTTATTAAACATTTCTTTCAATGTAAGTTGTTTAAGTTGCTTCATTTTTTGTGCTAATATTTTCTCTTTAATTCTCTTTTCCATAAACATACATAATTTCTTGTTTAGTTACAAAGTTCCACTGTTCAAATCCTGTAATTGCCGTGTTGAGAATACTGACTAACTTGTCAATCGAAATTTTTTTGTTTTCAATAATAATAACATTTTGTTTTCGTTCTCTGTCACTTTCATCACTATAGGAAGTGCGCATGTGTAAACGGTTTACTGGCTTTACGCGCATGCGTAGTGGATGCGTGCATCAAACTCGCATGCGTAAGTTTGTGGCTTTGAGGTCCGGATAAAGATCATTCCGGATAATGGAAGTCCGGATTACGGACTTTGTACTATATTGAAAAGACAAACAACACACACTCACCATTTTTGCTTTCACTGTGCCTTAGTTTAAGATTATACATAAAAACAAATGGATAAAAATTATCAGAGAAGATTTTTCTTTGTGAATTTCTTCACTTTGAGACGAAGCAATTTTGATCTTACTTTCTGAACTAATAAACTAAGACATGTACTAATTGTATAAAAAAAACATATCAAATTTCAGGTGAAAGAGCATTATTATTATTATTTTCTGTTATAAGAGACTGTCTCTTAATTATGTTACAAAAACAACAACAAATTTTAACCAGCTCTTATTTACATGCATCTTTTTATTTTAATAAACAGATTTATAGAAGGATTTCATTTATAGATCTAAAAGAATTATCATTAATACTTTCACATTTCAAGCATATTTTATTTGATATTTGTTTATGTCGTAAGAAATTAGCACAAGAATGTGAAAGTTGATACCTGTCAAAGACTTGCATTTGAAAATATTTCTCTAATTCTGAATTCTGAAGGGCAGTCATTATATCAATACCAATGAAAACAGCACTTATGGAAGGATTTGATCGAGTAATATTTTTTAGGTTTTCTAGATTTCCTTTACCAAAAATCAACTTTGACTTCAAATTTGTAGCTCGGATAACATACTGAAAAATACAGTTTATTTTATCATACATATAATACTACAAAATTAAGAAAAACTTTTATTTCATCACAAAAAAAAGGGGGGAAATGTACTTCCTTATTATAGTGGTTCCCCACCTTATTTGGCAACTTTAGGATTATGCCAAGATCACAGCTAAGATTTCACCCAGCTCATGAAGCATGAATGTAAAATTAAACAATAATAACTATAATACTCACATGTTGTTTCTTACAAATATTTTCAATAACTGTTATGAGAGTTCATATTTCCGAAATTGCTTTCCCCAATTCATTAAAAACATAATTTTTCCAATGTACTTTCTCCACATAAATTCCAAAAGATATGATTTCAGGTGATGCCAAGCCATGCCCTGTTGTTTTTAATGTGTGTAAACATCCATTGTTGGGTCTACAAACTTGTACTTATGATTTACAGTAAAGTGACCAGTAACCAGTTTCTTCAAGTTGCTCCATTTTATATCCCTTTCAGCAGTCTGAATATATTGTTGATCCACCTTGCACATGTTGAATAATTTTCACCCAAAGTGTACCGGGATCTCTATTTGAAATTTGGATAACAAAGCTCTCACCATTTTCCCAGCATATTCCACCAAAAATTCACTGTTATATCAGACAAACAAATTTTCATCAACTACTTTATTGGAAATGCCTATTCCTCCACTAAATCTTTGCATCAGATATGGGAAGACACTTCCTGCATGCAATTATTCTGATCATCTGCAACATTTTTACACATATTAAGCTGTTTGTCTTACCATTTGATGAGCATCAGCTTCACTATCAAAGAATCATAAACCTAAAAGCAGTGATGAAAAATTTTCTAGAACCACTGAAACAATTTCCAACATGGGAGCTTTTCTTCTTTTCACAATTTTAACACTGCACTTCTAAATTGTTTCATCATTAACATATAGTTTCATGTTGTGGCCATTTTTGTATACTTGTTTGTCAGTTAAAAGATCTGTTTCTTGAAAAAAAAAATATGGCATCCACCTCTTTATTTGGTAAATCAAAGACTGTTAATTGTATATGCATAAAAAGGCAAGGAATATTTTTTAAATACCACTGCGAATTTGAAAACCTTACCAAAAATGAAATAGATTGATAATATAAGAAAATGTGAAATACCTCAGTTGATTAGCATTCAGTCTTGGGATGCCCATAATATAAGGAAGTACAAAGAAATTAACAGATATAAAATCAGTCAATCTGAGAAAATATTCAATAAAATTAATATATTGAACACTTATATATACATAGTGACAAAGAAAACAAATAAATGAAAAAAAATTAAATACATAACAAATGTCCAGAAATGCATTCACTTAGCCCTGACTTAATAATGAATAAGGGGGTGTGAACAAAAGTATTTAAACTCCATGGTTCAGGCAAAAATTTAAATAATTTTATCATTTTAGCAACCTTTGTCGTGTTCTTTCCTTTTTGTATTTTAAAATAGTAGTTAGAGTTTGCATTCTGAGCTGAGTAAAATGCAGAGATGTTTACAAAAACATAATTTAAACAAAAACAATAATTAAAATTCATGATGAATTTTTATTACTTAATTATTATTATAATTTTAGTTTTGAGAATGTTGAAAACTTGAAATTTATGCATAATAATCAAAATTAGTGTTTAAAGAATAGTGCAGTGCAAATATTTTATGTTATGTATGTAGAATAAACTATGTTATACAGATTATCTTCTGATTCGAACTGAGTTATCTATTTCTTCCTGTGACATCTGACATCTATTGGACCGGATTCAGAAATGTATGTATGTAAGTCTATATGCATGTATTCAAGTACGTGTGTATGCATATACGTACACACATACACATACATTTCTGACTTTGGTCTCGATAGCAAGAAAGTACAGTTCAAGTTTACATATAAAAATTTATAAGATATAAAATATACTATTTTACTATAATGATACAGCTTAACACACATCTTCTTCGTATACTGTACAATTGTTGTTTAAAACTATATGGAAATTTATTCAAATAGGTCATCTCTCTAATAATGTGCCTAGCAAAATATAATGATTTCTCAAGCAGCTTGAAGTCTTTTCCTGTGAAAAATGTATGGAAATGGTTAAATGAAGTGGAAAAACAAATACATACAAATTAATTTCTATTTGGGAATTCTAAAGATGTTGCTAGACTATGGAATTTGGTGTCCCTGGCAAATTGGCAATTTATAATAATTTCAGTATCCTTTAAAAAAGTTTTACTAATGGAAGATTTCAAGTTAAAGAAATTTAACTAATTGAGAAACATTCAGACTAATTTTAAATAAATTTTGTTTAAGTTAATCAAAATTTTAAGTAATTAACAGTTCAAAACTTGCTATCAAAGTACCACTAAAGAATTGCTGAGCAACCAATATTAAAACTGAGTTTAATTTTGATATTTATGCATCATGATTTCCTCTTTCAGCATCACTTGTAGATTTTGTTTTCGTATCAGGAGACTTACATTCATTAAAAAGGGGGAGGTAAAGTAGCTATAAAGCAACACACACCATAATTTTATAGCATTTTTATTGTGCATTTTTATGAACAGAATCCATAAAAATGCACAATTTTAAGAATTTCTCTGCTAAAAAAGGTTAACAAATTTTCAAATATTTCAGTTTTCATATATATTCATTAAAATTATCTGTTATTTAAATACACCAAAACCTAATAAATTAAATTTACTAATATAAATAATACTACTAAAATAACTAAATCATATTAGATCATGGGCAAATTACATGAAAAAAAATTTGCTGAATGGAAGGAATGCCTTCTTAGGAGAAATTAGCTTGTAGTCACATTTCACATAAGAAAACACAGAAACTTCCAACCAGTCCATTCAACAAAATTTAAACTTAGGTCAACTACAAATGCTCAGCAGTTTTACTACTTGGCTGTTCCTGTGTTCTACAAATCAACTAATGATTGCGTATACTGTTACATACAGGCAATCAAAAATGTACAATGATAATGAAATGTAATCTTTTACTTTTTCTACAACATTCCAATCAGGCAAGGTTTTGACAAGAGCTACAGCTTCATCTAATTTTCGTTCACATGCAGATATGCTTTCTCTCTGCGGACCTCTACCTCTAGGCTGAATTAAAAGAATATTATGACCTACTCCAGGATGTTTATATAAATGTTTTGTAATGTCGGCAAACTCTGAATGTTCTAAGAGTGATTCACGTTCGATTTTTTCTAAATTATTTTTTTCATTACTTAAACGAGAACTACAAATTATAGTCCTCATAAAAAAAGTATGATATTTAAACTGTTTCAGATAATTCTGGTTAAATTTGAATTGAGGTGTTTTAACCAGCAACAAATTCCACGTTTCGGACATCGCTTTTGAAAACTGGCGCCTTATATAAATTGTGTGCTTTAACGACGTATACGCCATTCCTTTTACGTATATGTCTCCAAAAATATTTAACTTCTTCATATTTCTTATTTCAGCTGCACAGTCAAGCACATAGTGAATGCGGAACATAAATTGCAGCGACTTATGCGAGTCGAATATGCGAGTTCTGGGAGTCGCAGTAGAGAAATGTCTTGTTTTGCACCCACTAAGTCCTTTTACCCGCAGCGCGAAAAATCAAGTTTACCAGCGAAGAAAAAGTTGATTATATGTGAAGCATCGTATTCTTCTATATCTTAGAGATAATTTTATTAAATGAATTCTTGCACGCAAATCAATGCTAGTTTTCGCATTCGTATCTTATTGTGCATGATATTTGTTTTCCAAGTTCAGTATATCGATTTAGCATTTTTGTATGTTTTGTGTACTTATGTTTGGTATATTTTGCTCTCTGTTTGTATTTTGTACTATAGATTATTAATGTGCTCTTGAAGTTTTATGCTAATCTTTTACCAGTTAAATTTCCTAGTCTAAAAATACATGATTATTTTCAGTAAATAAAATATTGGTATTATTCTATATATGCGAAGATATCTTTAACGATTTTATCCCCCACTAGAAATAATTAATTTGTAGAACACATCATTCAGTTATTCGCATTAGTTCCTGTTTTCATAAATTTTCTAATATTGTGCGTTGTATTGCGTAATTTTTGGTGTATTTTTTGAAATTTTCCTTTTGCCTTTCAGTTACAAAGACTTGCCAATGTGTTTGACATGGAGGTTAGACTGTATTCTAACCTCCTTGGTGCTTGGTTTCTTAGAGTCCTCGTCTACTCACCAGCTTTACAGCTTTGCCTCTATTTAAATGAGGATATAATTTTCGAAACGTAATTTATAAAATGGGTGATTTTTTTACTTTTATGAAATAAATAAAGCATCTCATTGTGAAAAGTTGCTAACTTCAAAGAACATCAAGGTGATGCATGTAAAAAATGCATGTAAATGTTACATGTATGTACAATTAACAATTATATTTTCATTTTAATGAATATGTTTGTACTAATCATTGGTACTATTTCATTTTAATGCATCACTCAAATGCATATAAAGAAAGATGTATATTGAAGGCTTTGCAAGGAGAAAATGAGTTAAGATTAAAATTTGATTCACAGTAAATGACCATACAAATTTCTGTAAATTTACAGAGCGCAAAGGCCACGTAACAGCTTAATATAACGTGAAGTACTTTGGGTATAACATTTATCTTCCCTGCAAAAAATTGGGCCATGTGTAATAATTAAGTTACTACTTTTTTAAGGAATAATGAAATGAGCAATATTGAAATTGGCAACGTTCTTAAGGCAGCTTCTGGAAAAGTGAGTTGAAAATCTGGCAGTATTATCGGAGACGTCTGCCGAAAGGAAAGGCGTTGGTCATATATTTATGATAAAAATTTCCGAGTGAAGTATTTAGTCTGAGATTAGTTACAAAATAAAATCGTCCTAGGAAATCAGCAGGATGGCTGCTAGTTTCGACCCTTATGATAAACACAGGTGAGCGGCGGATTTAGAAACTTCCTTCTGTGGTATTTGGGGAATGTAAAGTAACCGGTTCCTTTTTTTTTCCCCCAATTAGCGAAAGGCCTTGACATAAGCCTAAATTTTTATTAACGCTGTTAAATATGAAATTTTTATAATGAGAGTTTGTGCCAGATTAATTACGTATTGTACATTTTATTGCTATGGGCGTTATGAATAAAAAATACTTCAGCGTAATAAAAATGCGAGTGTTTTATTATTACGTTATCACTGATTACTCAGAACTGAGATTTGAGTAAAATATTTTTATACTACGGTTTACGAATTTTTTTTCTTTTTTAATTATAAAAGAAATATATTTTCTGATCAGTTTAAAATATGAAATTTTAACCATAACCTCCAAAATTTTTTCCATGCTCTAATTTTTAAGCTATATTTTTCATAATACTGTACATTTTAATATTATTGTCATTATAAATAAATTCTTTAGTGCAATGAAAGTTTGAACGTTTTTGTATTGCATTATCAGAAATTACTCAAAACTAAGACTGTAAATAAAATTTTTTGGTACTGTAGCCAATCATTTCTTTGGAATGTTTAGAAAAAAAGTTGCCTGATTTAAAATGTGCAAATTATAGACTTATTTTTTGCATGCATAGACATATATTTTTTCATATAGTGAGTAAATGTCGTGTTTTTCATTTACTAGATACCAAGTTTAATTAAAGTTGATTATAAAATCACCATTTTGTTATAGCAGAACAGCATAATTTTGTAAATATATATTAATATTATGATTCTGTTAAATAATACATTTCTGTATGAATATAAGCCAGTTTTCCTTAAATTACCTCCATGAGGGTGTCTCTCCTGTAGGCAGATAGCCATTGTGAGGTTTTTTTTTATATTCAAATAATTAAGCTTGTTGAATATTAATGAAATTTTGATAAACTATGCTTTTTAGAAAGGTCACCAATATATACAATATTTTTTTTACTGGTTCCTTTATGCTCTGTTTGTTTTTATGTGGTTCTCTTTTTTTGTATTATTTTACACATTTCTCAATTTTAATTGATATATAAAAGTTTACAATAATTATAAGAGTTTTAATTAAAATTAGAGTGAATTAATTCATATATTAGAAGTAAGTACTGCTTAATTTTTTCCCTTCAAAGTATTAGAATGTAACTTTTTGTGCAAACTTTATTTTAAAAAATGTTAAATATATCAACAATGAAACTGTGATAATTAATAATATGAATATTTTCCATGTTAACAAATTTTGTATATAGGTTATGAACAACTGTCGTCCTTAGTTTGCTATGTCTTCCTGTCCAGTTTCCTATACACTTAATGCTACATTCATTATATTGTTATACAAACCTCCAAGAGTTTGAAAACTGGATGTAATGAACTGTATGGATATCTTCAATTGAAAAACTTTTTTTCCCTAGAATTCCTGCAAGTTAAAATCATTTATGTTATGGATTTTGGAATTATTCCATTAAAACGCCTATGCTATTTTTCTTTTATAGTCACTTCTATTTTTCTCTTTATTCTAAATAACGTTCGTACAAGTGCCTATCGAAAATGTAGATTATCGTTCCTTGATATTGCCGCCACACTGATTGACATCCAACCACTGTCATGCAAATATGGAATCATTGGATAGCTGTGAATTATACTGAATGGCATGTATAATCTCAGCACCTTCCTATGACTAACGCCAGAGAGGACAGACAAGACATGTTGTGAGGTCAGCCCTGCAAAACCATAGCGCCACATCACAGAGCATTATTCAGGAAATGGGCATGTTTGCAGCACGCTCAATATCAGCTCGTAAGGTGCGTAGACCTTTGTAGCAGTTTGGACTATCAGCAGGGCGACCATTACTTCCCTTGACGATGCAGCATAAAGAGAGACAGTGACTCTGCCAAACGACAAAGCTGGGTACAGGAGTGGCACAATGTTGCCTTTTTAAATGAGTCCTGGTTCTGTGTGCTGTATTCTGATGGTTGTATATGTGTCTGGAGTGTCCAAGGAGACCACACATCATCTGCTTGCATTCGATATCAACATATGGGCTCTGCATCTGGTTAGATGGTTTGGACAGCAAATGGGTACATGACACGCACATGTCTAGTTGCATGGTCTCCAGATCTGTCACCCATTGAAAACATCTGGTCATGCGTAGATGAGAGACTGGTCCACCACCCCTCTCCAGCTAATACAGTTGATGAAGTGTGTCATAGACTTGAAGCAACATGGAATGAGTTGCCCATTCTGTTGTCCAAGCCCAGTTCCATGCGTAATGGGGTAAGGCAAGGTTCTTTAATATTAAAGGTTAGGCCAGGAAAGGAAAAAACATGCCATTGGTTGCTGGTAGTGACTTCACCCGGGTGACAAGACAGATGGGTCGCCGCGTCTGCTACAAGATTTTGGTAATGAAAAAAATGTAAACTAAAGCAAAATGATCATTTTATATGTGATAGTTATAATAACATACCGGAAATAGTGGGTATATACTTTCTGATTAAGCATTTTGTTAAAGCAAATGTTTATTTTATGCGCAGAATTCGTATGAATGCTGAAAATAATTGTAAACATTACATCCTTTTCTTAAAGGAAAGCATAAGAAAATGAAAAACGATATTTCAGTTAGTTAAAGGAAATGAATGTAAAACAAGGTATTTTTTCATATTTTTGTGTTGTATTGTCTTATATGCATACATACATATATAGACATACATACATTTCTGAATCCGGTCCAATAGACGCATTAAATAAATCTTGTTGAATAGAACAAACACATGAGGGAATAACTGCTAAAACCATGGTAATAACGTAATCAAAAAGTATTTTCTTATTTATTTTCATTCTATTTATTTTCATCTTATTTATTCCTCATTCATATTCATTCTCATTCATTTTTTTAATACAAATGAACTTTGACATTCCATCAAAAATATATGATCGTAATTTTCAGTTTAAATTACATAAGCAAAAATATATATAAAAAGATTTAAATCAATAAATTCGTGTTTAATTACCCTAAAATTCTACAAATTTCTTAATATCACATCCTTTATACTTTTAAATAGCCTTATCGCATTCTTTTAAAGTCACTTACTTATACTGATTCACTTCAGATTTCAGCAGAAGTGCATATATTTTCAGTATTATCTAAAAGCGCTCTTATAATCCCTCACACTCCTAAAATTTCTATATAAAATTTAGGTTAATCTTTGGAATATGGTAACAGGTAGTTTGGCGACATTTTGGTAAGGCGATAAAGGTTACTACGTAGGTCTTTAGCAATAATCTGAGAAGTACATAGTTCGAATAGCAGATTATTTTGTCTCGAAGAAATGAGAGATCATGTGACATTTTCCGGAAAATTCCGATCGTGATTTTAGCTAATAAGCATAATTCGGCTAGCAGATTGTTGGAAAAAATGTCGAGTAAAAAAAAAAAAGCCTTTACTTTGTAAAAACAAAATGGCATCCCCCCCCCAAAAAAAAAACTAGCAGGGTTGGTCGCCAAAAAATCGCCAAGTTACCATAATCCGAAGATTCACCAAAATTTATGCTGGCGTGTTTATTTGCTATAGCAAATAATCTTCTATTTTCATGCTCTATTCTTCCCTTCATACATTAAAAATTGAATAATTAAAATACATTTCTTACACATAAATGCTGTATTCAAATTAAATATTTTTAATTACTAATATATTTATATCAGGTTGTTTCTTAAAATTTTTTTGTTATACTTAAAATAGTGTTCAGTATATAATTATTTGTCTTTCTCTTGTAATTAAAAACAAATTATATGGAATCAAAATTAAAACGTATGCAGCAATTAAATAACACTGAAGAGAATATCTTGCTTAATCTTTCGCTGTTTGTATTTCAGCACAATACACAGATCTCTTTTCCTTCAGGGTCAAGCATGTGTAAGTTCACTTAGTTATATCAATTAAATTACATCAGTTAAATAACACTGAAGGAAATATGTCTCTCACTCATTCGATGTTTGCATCATAGTGTGGTCGAGAAATTGTTCTTTCCTCACGGTGTAGCATGAATCAATTTACTTAGTTCGCAATGCTCAACCCAGACACTGCTTCAATACATAGAATTACATTTGGCATGTAAAGAAAGTAATCAAAACATGTGAATGAAGTTGGATAAGCGAATTTATCAACTAATCATTCAGGTACTAAGTACTGGTAAACATGATACTGAGTTGAAATATCTCACTTTGATATAAGTCTCATTCACAAAGTGAAGAATATGATAAAATATGATTTAAAATGAGAAATTTTTCAATTATAAATGTAAAATAGCAGTAAAATGAAAAATAAATGTAACATTACATCACAGTTATGTATGAAAACTATGTAAATGCATTAAAAAAATAGTCAGTTTTTTTATCTGGTTGTAAAGAGTGTTTTCCGCCAAAAAACGTACTGGCATGTATAATTCTGACACAATGCTATAGCACAATTTGCCACTTCCGACTAGGTATAAACTGTTGATGCAACAAATGTAAACAAACACCAAGAACTAACGACTGTCACCCATGGACCTTTTTCTTACAAGGTCCATGCTGTCACCCACATGACGTCATGCGCATGTGGCATAATTTTCTCCCTGCACTACGCATCGCATTGCTCTTGAGCCAGTTTAGCTGCGAGGGAATGCAGCTGTTTCTACTAATTTCAGACATTATTTTGCCTTCATGGCCATACTGCTTATGTGCATTAAATATCTTTTTTGTATTTGCTTTCCTTCATGGTGTTGTAATTTTAATGGCCAGCAGTGTAGTTTAAATACCATTTTACTTACAGATAGGTTCCTGTTTTTACTGTAATTTTGTTCTGAACTTTGGTAGGGTCTTCTGATTGGGTATTTCATCTAGAGAAATTACAAAATAAAAGGAAGTTTAATACTCTAGAAGACATTATTAGAGTTTAAACGCTAAATAAATAATGCAGGTAATTACTATATATACAAACTGCATAAATACTGCTAATTGCAACCACTTTTTAATTTTCTAGTTGGTACTTTGGACCACTGACAAGACAGGAAGCTACTGATATATTGCTAAATGAAATGGAAACTGGAGTTTTTCTTGTCAGAAACAGTTCAACTATACATGGTGATCTGGTGTTATGTGTGAGGTAATCGATTTGATATATTTGTGATGTTATTGTGTAATTTATTTTAAATAATGGGGTTTATATTTTCTGTTTTAAATAATGTATGATTTTATTCTAATATTTTGAAATATCAGTTTTTTCAAAAAGAAAAAACTAGAAAGCTATGTCAGAAGTTGAGGAAAGAGAAACTGTAAAAACCAAAAACTGTTTTGGTATTCTATGGTTTGTGAAATGAAATGGCTGATCTTTGGAATATGGTAACAGGTTTGGCGACATTTTGGAGGCGATAAAGGTTACTACCTAGGACTTTGGGAATAATGTGAGAAGTACTCAGTTCCGATTACGCATAATTTTGTGTGAGGGAAATGAGAGATCATGAGATATGTCATGTGACATTAATGGACGAATCACTGTTCTTTAATCGGAAAAGGGGGTATATTTGTAAAAATATCTGCTGTACTTTATAGCAGTAGTTTCATTCTATGTTCTGTGAAACAGTGTTGTTTAATATTTGGATCCCATGGCTGTATATAAAGTAAATCCGAAATTTTTATTGCGGTTATGTGCAATTGAAAAGAATTGCTTAATTGCGGATAAGTATGAATGTCTAATATGTGGAATGAAATGAGATTGTGTGAAAGGAAGGATATTACAGATAGTTTGAATGGTGGTGCAAGAAACCTGGTGAAAATGGACATTTTGTGATCCGCCATGCACTCAAGATTCTGTAGAAGATTAGGTAAGTTAGTATTTTTAATTATTTGAGGATATTATTTTTATGCATTGTTCTAAACGTAAGGAGTAAATAAATTAATATGGTATTATTGGAAAATTGCTTTAGCAATGATTTAGTTTAAAGTAATTAGGATTGTAAGCTAATTTTTATTAATTTAATGTATGTGCTTATTTTATATTTTAAGTATTTTTAAATTTAATTATATTTTAATTTAATGTTAAAGTTTCGTGGTTTGTTTCTCATAATCTTGTTTGTAGTATTTTGGAATACGTTTGAGTAGAAGTAAATATGCATGGAAAGAATTTAAGTATTTGACACTAAGTATTTGTAATCATTTTTAATGTTTTGTTATAAATTCGTTGGTGACGTTTATAATAGATAATTTAGAGGTAAAAGTTTTTGGATATTTTATTTATTTTATACGTGCAAATGTCCATCTTTGGAAAGGGTATATACTTTTCCGCGATCAGGTAATTTCATATATGTCCTTTTTACCGAATTTAAAGATTCACAAAATTTCATGCATTTTCTTGAAATTTTTCTAATTTATGAGAAAAAAGCAGTGTACATGGATATAGTGAAGAGTGTGCGCAATGCCATTTTTGTGCAATTCTGGGATGTTTTTTTAAGTAAAAATAAGTAGACGTGTACATGGTTACTGTGTATGTGCGATTTTGAAAAACGCGGCAAGGAGTTTGCGATTCTGCACTTTTTCCCAATTTTGCAGTTAATATTTGTCATGATTAAGCAGTTTTGTTCCATAAAATTTCTAGCATAAGTGTAATTTGGCTAGCAGATTGTTGGAAAAAGTGTTGAGTAAATAAAAAGAAAAGAAACATGTCTTTACTTCGTGAAGACAAAATGTCGGCGAAAAAAAAATGGGGGTTGCTGTAGCAGAGTTGGTCGCCAAATTTTTGCCTAAAAATCGCCAAGTTACCATAATCCAAAGATCAACCAATGAAATTTTTAAATTGATATTTTAAGTATGGAAGAAATTAAAACTGGAAATATATAACAAAACTGGAAATAGAAACTTGATCTTAAATATGTATCTAAATTGAAAATAGATTCAAAAGTTTTACTAGAAAAGATTTTGAAAAAAAGAAACCTTAGACTGGAAATTAGAGTTACGGGAGTTAGTTACATTAGATGAATTAAGAGATTAATTACAGTTGTTGAAGAACTTTAAAGAATAACAGAATATTTTAATAAAAAAATAGAGGATATTTTATTATAAATTTCAGCTTACCCTTAATAAAACACATTTTACAGCTTTTCGCAATTTTTACAAAACACAACTTTTTCAATATTAGAAGTGCATTTTCCACACACATAATATGAACGTTTTTACACACATCACACTTGTTTTGTTGTTGTTACAAAGTCCAATCTGGCATTGATGTCTTTTTCTTCAAGAGTCTATAGGCTAGATTTGGAAATTTCCTGGGGCAATTTTGCGGTTTTTACTTCTGTTTAAATAAAGCTCTCTTGAATTCCTCTGCTAATTGAAATAGGAAGTCGTGCCTTGTAATATTTTTATCACTCAATTTATGGTAGATAATGTAGGCATTTGTCCCTGCTAAATCCAGCATATTATAGAAAACATGCACAGGCCATCTACGTGAAGCAGCCCGAACAGAATATTTACGTGTCATCTCGTCAATGATATCAACTCCACATTTGGTTTTTTTGTAGAACTGTACTGTTTCTGGAAGCTTTTTCTTATTTTGTGAGTCTATATTTACACTTTGGATGTAAGGTACTTAGTAGTAGGACATTTTTATTCCTTTTTCTGTGATAGACAGTGAGCGTAGTTTCACCATTCTTTAGCAAAACTGTTTCAAATAGCCGGGTTTTTGATTTCCTTACTTCATGCGGAATTTCTTGTCGATGTCTTCTTACTGTGCCGACAAAACTTGTGTTTTTCATTTTAAGTCTTCTAGCTAATGATAGTGAGAAGAAATAACTGTCCGTTGTCAAATTTCGACCTGAATTCAGATAATGGCTTAGAAGACGCATTACTACATTTTCAAGAAGACTTTCAGTTTCACTTCTCGATGTGTTTTTTCCAAGATATGGAAAAGTTTTCCCAGTTTTCTTCATTGTTCTAAACTGCCTCTGCTTCCGTGCGCTTTTTAATATGTCGTAACATCGATTCATCCTCAAACAACCTTCAAGCACTCAACACATTGTCCCCAACATTTCGTTTTGCATAAGATGTTGGACCCGGCATTTCTTTTAGGACATTTTGAGCTCCATATTTCCCAGCTGTAGTTTGTGAAGTAGATGTCACAGTCCACGAGGTTCCATCTTTTGAGACATATATAGAGCCTTCTTCGTGGTTTTGGAAAAGATATCCTCTTCCTCGTGTGTATCCTGAGTTAGGTAAATCATGTTTTTGCTTTGATCCTATACCTTGTGCATTAGCGGAACCTAAAAAAATAATATATATGTATATTTTTTACAATAAATGACTCATCACATTTTAAAAAAATTCGAGTACATCAGAAATTGTCAAAACAAAAATAACAATACATAAACAGAAATATTTCTTACCTATTTCAGTTGATGTGGATGCTGCAGTTACTGATGACGAAATATTTGCTGCATAAATATCGATGGGCTGAAAACCTTGGCCCAACGATTGCTCTTCCGTGCTATCTTCAGATTCACTAGAACTATTATTTCTCTCAAAGTTTTGTGGAGGCTCATAATCCATATCATCATCAATATTATGTTCTGCAACATCAGATTTCATTTTCAGATAAATCCTGTAAAAGTTGTACAATTTCTTCTGGACTCGGATATCGCGGTCTTCGAGCTGCCATTACCATGTGCTCGAAAGAACGAAAAGTCATGAAACAAACTGACTGAACTACTGAAAACTAAGGATTATATCATTTCGCCAAAAAGGGGTGGACCGTTGACAAGGAGGTAGAGAAGTATTTGATGTTGTAAATAAAGAGAGAGCGAAAAGGAATGTGTAGGCCAGATGTTTCTCCAACAAAAGGGATTTTCTGAGCGGAAGGGAAGTATATCCTTCTGTAAATAATCAGTGAATGAAAGGAATGTATATGTACGCCAGATGTTTTTCCAAGAAAAATATTTTGAGCGAGAATACCATATAAATTTACCCAGTATTACTAGCAGTCATTATGACTGTTCGTGGCGCTTTTAGGTATTACTAATAATATCTCCGTTAATTTTAATCTCATTCGATTTATATTTGGTACCAATAATTTTTGACATATTTTAGGATAATACCAAAATTTGTGACTTCTTAAGATAAAGGGTTTTTAAGGAATCCAAGGTCAAATGACGAAAGCAGTCAAAATGACTGCTCTGTCGCTTCTAGTGTTAATAAATGCAAAACTGTTTCGTCTTTTTCTCAAGTAAGAATTATGACAGAAAAGCTGTTTATTAAAACTGAGTTTAAGTTATTCAGTTGTTAATTAAAAATCAGTAAAAAAATTCTGTCAAGTTTTAAATTCACTTTTGAAATTGGAATGTATAACAATTCTTATAAGATATAAATCTTATTTCTTATCTTATAATTCTTGTAAGAGTTTTACAGTCTTACTTGAGAAAATTGCTCCCGGATACTTTCTCCTTTGATTATATTAATACAAGGCAAACTTTGTAAAACCAATTAAACAAAGAACAGCTGTACAAAAATATGTTCTCATAAGACTAAAATGAAACATTAAGAATGTATGAAAAAGAGAATTTGCACACACTAATGTTTATGAAAATCTCATCAGTATGCAAGAGGGTGGGCTTTCATATTGAACAATCTCGGCCCGCAGGCAGTGTAATGCCACAACAGGGATGCGTATTTGGAAGAAATCAACAGAGGATCCCGGCAGTGGGGCATGCAATAGTACAATGGCATAGGATGGCAGATACCTCATCCACATGGCTGTGATGGATCGTACAGTGTCATCTCGTGTAATAGCACAATGTTGGGGCACGGCTACAAGTGTGTTTTCTAGCTCTACCGTTTGTCGTTGTCTGCTGCAGCATGAACTGTATGCAAGGGTTTCTGTACGCAGGATTCCCTCACCGCTGAATCATAGATGCTTCCGACTTCAGTGGCACATTAACACAGTGCGTGGCATGCTTTGTGGCAACAAGCTGTTTTCTCCAATGAATCTTCCTACAGTGTGGAGTACAGTGATGGCAGAATATACGTCAGATGTTATGGAGGAGAACTTCTGCTCCCGCAGTGTGTTATCCAGCGTCATACCACACAAATGCCTGGCATCAAGGTGTGGAGTGCTATTGGGTATAATTGGCGATATCATCTAGTGCAGATTGCAGGCAACCTCAACAGTGATCGTTACGTAAGGGAAGTTGTGGAGCTGGAGGTCCTCTCATTCTTCGATGTATTCTGGGCATCGTATTTTAGCAGGATAATGCCCATGCACATATTTCTCAGACTACACAAGCCTTCTTTAGGACACAACAGGTTTTACTACTTCTGTGGCTTGCTTATTCCCTGGATATGCCGTCCATTGAACATATGTAGGAGTTCATCGTACAGCAGCTTGCTCACACAGCTGGTAAAGCACACGCTAAAACTGAACTTTGGTGTCAAGTCGAAGCCATATGGAATGCCATTCCCCAGGATTAGATCCAGAACCTGTATGATTTATTGCTACGGCGGGTACAGGCTTTCATCTCTCAGCGTGGCAGACACATTGATTTATATTATTCCTTTTTTTGTGTGTGTCTTGTAAATTTTATCATTTATTGGTACCATTATTAGTAATGTGTGGAATAAATTTTATTCGTTTCCAACAATTCCTTCATGGTGTTTGTCACAAATATTAATGTATATAATTTCTTTGGTTAACTTTCTTGATATAAATCTTTTAATTTAAAAATAGGTATAGAAATTTCAATATTGTGCATTTAATTTCAGAGAAGACAGCAAAGTAAGCCATTATATAATCAACAGAATACAACAGGATGATCAGACAAGATTTCGAATTGGTGATCAAATGTTTCCAGATGTACCATCACTTCTCAATTTTTATAAACTACACTTTTTAGATACCACTGCATTGGTAAGGCCGGTAAGTAAATTATTTCTTCAAGAGGTTATCAACTTTCATTAGATATTTTTTATTGATATTATAATTTGCTGTTATTCTTTCAGTATTTGTGTATATTTTATAAACTTATTTATTTTTGTATTGGGATACTTTCAATTGATGTGATAGGTTACAATTTTTTTTTTCAGTAATTTTTTTCCCCTTGTATATCTTATAGGCTCCCAAGAAACTTGAAAAAGTTAGAGCTAAATATGATTTTGATGGGAGTGTAAGTGTTTACTAAATTTTCATTTTCAGTAAGCTCCATGTTTTATTAGTTAATATTGTATGAATAGTTTTCTCTGAATAATATATTAAATGTTGATATTTTGAAGCATTTCTTTGTTTCAATGTTGTGTTTTTAAGGAGTTTAATATTTTTGACATTATTGCATATGTAGCTGCTACTGTTACATTTATATATTTAGAAGGCTTAATGTAGAATAATTTTATTTCATTAGTCTTTCATGGTGTTCAGAATAGTATTTCACCAAAATATGTGCTACTTTTAGTTTGAGATCTACGTTAGTTTTAGGGAACTTTTTAATTTGATTTAAATTGACATATCAAGAATAAAAGTTAGTTAAAAGTTGTTGTCATGATTTTCCTATATTCTAAGTGAGAATCCGTTCATGTTAAATATATGTATTTTTGCAAAAAAAGGCCATCATCCTATTTGGTATAATAATGAGCTAAGGATTAAGAGTTGTAGATAAGATAGGGTGTTTTACACTGTAGTAGCTTCATAATGAGAAAACTCTTCTGGTATGTCAATTTGGTACTTTTGTTGAAAGTTCAGTGATAGGAAAAGCAAGAAGACTCGTGTGTTCCATATTCCATGTTGCTTTGAGATGAAAACTAAGGATAAAGCTTAAGCTGATAGCCCTTGTATGTTTTGTCAAGGTGTAATAATCTTGATTCTTAAAATGTTCAGTGATATCTAAAAAAAGTAGCAATTGAGAAAAAGGACAGAATTTCATTTTATTTAAGTTCTGAAACATGTATGAAGACTCCATGCATAAAAACTATGGTTGTATTTTACATGTTTTTGAAATCACTTTCTAAAAAAGTACTAGGAACTTTTAAGAAAAATTTGTGTTAATGTGGTAAAAATTGTAAATTACTTTATATGGGACATTATTACGTATTATGGTTAGGATTTATCTGAAACATGATATAATGATTTAACTTATATAGTTGTTAAGGATTGAATATTATGTTAATGGGGGGGGATGGAGAATTTACTGACCCTGTGCTAGCACTGAATACAAGTATATTGGTTTCTTTTTATTCTTTGTTTACTCCACTCAAATTTCTCATTAGTATCTGTTTAGCTAAAATTTTAATCCCAGCACTTCACCCTTTCCCAGGAAAAAGACTCCTTGATTTCAAAATAGTCATCAAATTGTATGGGTTAAATGTGGGCTGCTTAGTGTTTTCCAAAATCCTAGAATGAAGTGAAAATAAAAAGAAGTGATTGACTACTAATTTGTCATTTTTGGATCACCCCTTCTTCCCTTTGTATGATAAGATCACACAAAGAAAAAGCTTGCTTAAAAATATGGGAAATAGAAATGCACTTTAGGCCTATCTCTTAGTGTAATGAAAAAACTGATTTGAAATCATGCTTTTTTCTTCGTCTTTAATTTCAGATGAGAGACTAGGGAACACAAGAGAATTTTTCACTCTAGGTGCACCATACAAATAGATGGTTTTCGAAATAAATTTTCACAGTTGGTGAATGGAGGAAAAATATTTAGATGCAAACCAAAACTTATCCAAAAGTTGAAAAGGGGCTGAAAATCAAAATAAGAGCTTTGAGGTGTATCAAATAATAAAATCAATTACTGGCGTTTCTTCCTAACACAAAAATATATTACAACTTGTATTTGCAAAAAAAGGAAAGAAAGGGGCCCTTATAGGCCTGGATAATCGAAAGAGTGTGTGTGGGGGGAGGAGTTCTTGGTATCATAGCATGAAGCATAGTCTTTTTATATATTATCTAAACCGTGAAATATAATAACTTAAAAAATGTAACCTACTTTTTCAGCTGAGTCGTAGTGTTTCATTTTAAAAATTTTTAAATTTTTGGCTGAGTTACATATCTTTGTAACATGATACTAAATTCAGTTACAGCATGATACGATTTACACATGGAGACACAATATTATATTTGCTAATTTTTTTCATAAAACAATAATATTGAATTTAAATCAGTTTCAAAAGCTTTTTACCCATATTTTACACAAGTATTTTCAGCTGGGTTGCATCATCAAAGTGCATAAAAACAAATTTTATTTTTTTAATTTCTAGCAAAATGTTAAAAGCTTTTTTGTCTTCAGACTTACATAACTATATTCAAGCACCCATCTGTATAGACGCATATCAGAAGTATGCAAAATGAATTAAAAAGGACAAAAATTAACAATTGCAGCTACCTGGAAAAAAGTGTCTTAGAGAGGCACCGGTATAAAATGTATATTGGCTTTCAAAATTCAGGATTTCGCTCGAAATTTTTTAGTCTCAATTTTATGTTCTTAGGGTCCATAAGTTACAAATTCATGCAAAATTTCACCACAATTAAAATTATTTTATATACTGCCTCTCAAAAGGTTAAACTAATTGAAAAAAGCCATGTTCTGTGATATGAATTCATGAGAATTATTGTGCAGAAGTTATAGCTAGCTCATTAGTTCTTAAAATCAAGCATCTGCCAAATCTTTAATTTTTTTTCAAAGTGTCTGCATATAGTTTTGGCAAGGTTGTAATGAAATGTGAGTAATGTAAGTTTCAGTTTTAAAATTGTATAATAAGTAGTGCTTACTTAGTTATACACTAGTTATTTGCATTTCTGTTTTGTGTTGGTTGGACTCTTTCCTTTCCTCAGTGGCTGTGCTTGTTAAATAATGTTATCATTTTATATGCAGCAATAATTAAAACTGATTGGCTATATGGCCTTTCCTGTTAAGTCAGGCTTTTTGGTGCACAGAATGAATGGATAAAAGCATATTAGATATGAGACTTCTAAGAACAGCTACTTAAGCATGACTTTGAGTTAGAGGCAGATTTAGGGGCAGCTTTTACAATCTGGGATATGTTTATATAACATGACTTTTAGTCTGCTGAGTACTCTAGTGCAGTATTTTTCAGACTTACAGCATTTGTTCTTCATGTGTATAAATCTCAAAGACAGAGGAAGAGAAAAACAAAATCCAGAAGAAAATAATGAATTGATGGGCTAGTAATAAATTATATATATAATCAGGGTTCGTAGGGGTTCTTACAAGTGCTTATAAGTTCTTATATTTGAAGATAAAAAATAAAAGCCCTTATAGGTGCTTACTTTTTCTCTGAAGCACTTTTTTTTTTTTTTTTTTTTTTTTTTTTTTTTTTTTTTTAGTGCTTATTTTTTGCTTTTAGTGCTTTTTTTTTTTTAACAAAAACACATTTTTTCCCTGTACCAAAGCTGAAACTAAATAAACAACTTTTCTTCCTTATATGGATTGTCAGATGGTGAATCATACTCCCAGAAATCACTTTTCGCCCCTTTCTCTGCATAACATAACCTTTGTACACAAGTACAGATAGGTGCATGTCGTTCTATTAGTCAAAGAATTGCGAATAGTGGTAATACTGAGTTTTGTTATGTCCTCAAAATACACACGTCAAAGAATGAAATAGAATTCACTACTGTATGTTTTGCTTTTTCATTTGAATTTCTATCAAGATTTTAATAATTTACATTCTCGTTCCACGTGGTCAGCTCATATTCGCATTTATTATGATCAGTATGCTTATATTATAAGCATATGTATGAATATTTATAATATATTTACAGTAACTGTTGAAGTATACATAAACTTCAAAAATGGGTGTGTTTTAACACAGATTAGTTTTCTAAGGAATAATATTCAGAATGGCATAAATAAAGTAAAAGTAATCAAATAGTCAAAATAGTTTTTTTGGGGGGCAATGCATTAAGCATTACGCAAATTGGGTGTTCTCCTCTTTCTCCACAAAATCTCGAATATTAAAACCGTTACAGTTCGCAGCAAAGCAAACAACAGACTTTTTTTTTTTTTTTTTTTTTTTTTTTTTTTTTTTTTTTTTTTTTTTGTCGCTTTCCAACCTGGATTGAATAGGACTAAAGGTTCTGCGGTCTACCAATCCAAGCAAAGAATGATTTTATTCTGGAAATTTAATGCAGCCTGTTCAAAATTAGAATGAAAAACACCACATATTGATAAATCTCTTTATTAATCAATATGAGTGTAGTATGGATATTGCGCAGAGCGGCGACATGTCCTGCTCAGTGATAAATATGCCGCATGGGCGCATGACGGTCCAAATACCGGCAGCTGTTAATTCTGATTGCATAACAACACGTGCGAAAGAATTAAAGCTCACGTATTGCGCAATAATGTTTGCCATATTTCGCAGAGATAAAACACTTTTACTGTACTTGCTAAGCGGATTATTTTTCAGTTCCGTTGGACTATTTTTTATATAATTCACATATTGAAATGTCAAAAGCATTATTTAGCTAAATAATCTAAAAAACGGCTACAATCTGCCCCCCTTTCCTCTTTTACCAGTTACGCTCGACTATCCAGAATTTTCAGATATTCAGCAATTTCCGAGTATGCCGGTTAGTTAAGCTTTTACTTTTAAAGAATGACTGCATGAAGCAATTTCCCGCCTTCTGATTTCAGAAAAGTTTCTTTTTTTTTTTTAACTTATTTTTACTTAAATTACTTTGCTTGCAATATCTGTTAAGGAAAAACTGTTATACAATGAAAATTTAGAAAATTTTCAGAATTTTGATTTAAGTTAAATTATTTAAATATTAATAGGATTGGAAAAAATAAATTGTATTTATTTTTAGGTGCCAAGCTAATATAATAAATATGGCTTTTTATTATTTATTTTCTCTATTTTGAACTTAAATTCCATCACTAAATCTTGTAATATAATTTAGTTCTGGATAGTTTTTTCCCGTTCTCATTGTAAACTAGTTTTGTAAATTGAACCGTTATTTAAAATAAAAACAATAATGTAATTGTTTTCCATGGTTGAGTAATTCTCATTCTCTCGTAATAAATATCGAATTTCTCATATTTTAAATTTCATGTCTAATTTTTCTTTTAAGGTTATGCAGTTGTGTATATGTAATTAGACAGGTGCTTATTTTTTTTCTTAAAATGTGCTTGAAAAGTGCTTATAGGTGCTTATTTTTTTAACTAAAATGTGGCTACAAACCCTGATAATGTATCAGCAATATATGGTATGACAGCAATTATATGCGTAACAGCGCTTTAAACTCTACTCGATAATCCCTAATACCCAAAAATATCTGAACCAGTACTTTGGGAATCCGTACTGTAAAAGGCATCTTTATCTTTTGACATGAAAAATCAAATACATCATATAGATAGTGACTGTGTCCTAAACAGCAGTGCAATTTATCAGAAGAATTATTAGATATATCCAGGGGGCACAGTTATCCATGAACAGGTAGAGAAGCATGACAGTCTTCTAAGCTGTTTTCTTTGTTATTAATTTCTTAGATTGAATCTAATTGGTAACTTAGTTTACTTATTTGAATAACTGTGAGACTATCTTAATCAGTATTTAAGATAAACGGATGAGCCTAAAAATTCATGAGACCTCCAAGAAGCATACATCTCTTCAGGGTTTGCTGATAAACTATTATGGCATTCTGCAAGTTGAGGCTTATTCCCACAGCTTTGCTTAAATTCTTACTCTCAGGAATGACTTCTATTAGTGTTAGGTAGATGGCTTGAATATATAACTAGATTTCATATGTATTTAACAGAATTTGATAATAGAATGATCTTTCACCTTCAAATGACATTTGAAATTTAGAAGTAATTTTATTTTTTGCTTTGATGCTAAGATTCATTTAAATTAAGTTCACTTAAACAATAGTCTTCAGATAGTATTTGATCATTATTTACAGCTTTAATTATGTACTGAAAGCCCTAATTAAATGGCTTTTCTTTTTACAGGGAGATCCTGATGATTTACCTTTCAAAAAGGGAGAAATACTTACTGTGATTTCTAAAGATGAAGACCAGTGGTGGACAGCAAAAAATAGTTTGGGCCAAACAGGATCTATACCTGTTCCTTATATAGAAAAAGTATGTGTTAAATTGTACTTGGTTTCATTTGCCCTTACAATTAATTTCAATAACATTTTATTTCATTGTGTATAGCATTTAATCATTCATGCATATAAAGCAATTCATTCATGTAAATTGACATAAATAATTGGAAATTATGCATTGCCCAGGCATAAATTAATGTGCTGGTACCTGTTTTTCAGTGTGTTGCATTATATCTGGTTGTAACAAAAGTTTTCTGCCAAAAAACATTCTTAATAAAGTTAGGAAAACAAAACATGAAAGCAGTACCTTTAGTGCAGATATTAATCACTCCAAATCTCTGATTTTCTATGAAAAAAGTAGAAGTCTGAAGGAGTGCTGTCAAGGGTAGGTGTAGTAAAAGATCCCATTCGAGTTCATATAGAGTCCAGCCTGTAAATGCAGACATATGAAGTCTTGCATTAACTTGATGGAAAATTACTTTTTTGTGCCAAAACTCGGTTCAACGTTTTTCTTTGATAGCAGTTTCAACACGGATTAGCATCTTGCTGTACACCTTACTGTCGAGGGTTTTAACTTTTTCCAGATACCCTTTATGGATAATACTACAACAGTCTCGCCTGATGCAAAGCATGATCTTTTTGTTAGTTGAATTGTGCTCTGCAATGCTGCCAGTGGGCTCACCGAGCACAGACCAACCCCCCTTTTCAGCCTGTGTTGTTGAAGTAATACCACTTTTCATCACAAGTGACAATCCAATCCAGAATTTTGTTCTTGCATTGATATTCAAGCAGATTAGTGTGGTCCCAAACAACATGTATCCTTATCGGCTTGAGTAAGCTCATATGGCACCCAGCTATTGAACTTAGTTTATGCAATGCATAGCACGACTAATGGACATGCCGCTAACGTCTAACTCTTTAGCAAGCTTTCAAGTGGTTGCATGCTGATCTTCTTCCACAAGTTCTCGCAGACAGGCCTCATCAACATCAGTAGGCCGGCCAGAGTACTCTCCTTCTTGAATGTCGTAGTTCTTGTTTTTTGAACTTTTGGTACCAAACCTTTACAGTGTTATATCATACAACATTACTACATAAAGCTATACATATGATTTGATGATGTTTAGTAGATGACTTTTTGCAGCAGAACTGGAAGTAAATGATGATTCTAATTTTGTAGTGTGATAGTTTCAGACACCTTGTACTGATAACTATACTTTTTTTACAAATTTCACAACACAGTGTTCAAATGCAAGTCTCTTTCTTTCAATTGCCAAAAATCGTTTGACAAAATGTGTTTAAACAGACCAACGTGAGTTGTTTGTGCAGATATTTGCAATGGCGGAAACTTTTGTTAAAAGCTAATATTAAAAGAATAATACTAAACTTTTAGAATTTTCAAAATCGTTTATGCTAGGTTATTGTTAAGGAGGAAAATGCAAAAATGTTTATAATTTGTGTTTTTAAGATATAATGCTTTATTTAAAAATATTTCCTTCCTGTAATGACCTGAAATTATCTTTTTAAATGGAACTATTAATTCAGTTTAATATTTTTTGAAAAATTTTCCAACATCAAAAATATGCTATTTTTTGGTAGTTTTAAAATAAATATTTTAAGTAGAATAGTGTATCATTTACAATGGCCGTTTTTGATAAGCCAGTACATTAAAGGGTTTGATGGATAAATAATAAGTTTTATATTCTTTTTACACTTTTTGTCAAATTAAAAGTTATTTGCAGACTAAAACTTAGCAGGAGTATAGAACATTGTGGTTAGTATTCACAGTTTAATTATAGCTGTGTATTCTAATAATGCACTTCTTTTGGTACTTTTCTGTTATCGGGACTGCATTCAGAAATGTACATACGTATGCATGTATGTATGTATGTGTTCATGTATGCTTTCTATATATGTACTTGCATATATGTATATATATATACACACACACATATATGCACATACCTATATACAAATGTGCATGCATACCTTTTTGAATAGTAATCATTACTTTAAATTATGAAAAGAAATTATTAAATTACATGCTCTTTCTTTTCATTTTTAGTCCAAAGGGGCACTTCCCAGAAGGACTATTAATTTCATTTTGGCATTTTGCATTGATTCGCTCAAGCGTTGTTTCACTTTTCAAATTGTTGACACCAAATATTATTGCCTTGTATTATATTTAAAGAAATTAAATAATGAAGAATCTGCATAAATGTATGTTTCTCGCATTGTAATAAAACAACAGTACCTAGAGCCATTAAATTTTGAATAGCATAATCCTCCTGCAAATATGGGCATCTGGAAGCCCAAATTTGGAATTTGTTCTATTATCGATTTAATATTTTGTAAAACTTTAACAAATTTTTGAATTACAAACTCAAGAATTCCAAAGCGAGCAGTGACAGCGTTCTACAGAAAAAACATTTTTATCTCCAGCGTGCAAGACTGTGTGTTGGAAATTCTAAAGATATGCTCATTTTAAAGTTATTTTGCAATATTGCTCTTGAATATATATATATATATTGCTCTGAATTTTGAGGTTTAAGTGTGAAGGAAATGATTTTTCATAAATAAAGGTAACACACAAAATGTTTTTAAAAAAATGCCCCTTTGGACATAATTTAAGATCTGAAACTTTTCAGATTTTCTTTTGTCTCTTTCTCTCTCTCCTTTTTTTTTTTTTTTTTTTTTACCAAAATTTTGTTTTCCCTAGGTTGATGACAATTTTTTGCCTGATGGAGTGCAAAATACACAACCTCCATCTTCTGGTCAAACACAGAGATCATCTACTGATCCTACACGTTACAATACTCCTAATATACAGGTAAGAATAAATTTTACTTCCAGAGCAGATTAATGATCTTAATTTTGTATATTTTTAAAATTCATCTATTCATTCAGGTCTGTGGAAAGGATTCATTATCATCCCTGAATATATAGCCAAGTTTAAATCCCAGTCTTTCTTTTGCAAATAGTATAGTTACACAGCTTGTTAGTTCAGTATGCTGCCATTTGATAGAGAAATCAAGAGATTGCTCTTTTTCCCCCCAATCTGATTTTTAATTTGTCTCTAGTGTGTCATATTTAAAGTATGTCTGATAAATATATCTCTACTGATCTGTTTTAAGTACTTTCCTCTCTTCAGATACATTTAAGTAATGATGTAGTTGAAATTGATTTTCTGCTTTTTGGCATTTAACATATAGTATTGGGGTTCTCAACCAAGGAGTTTCGGGGGGGGGATTGGGTCAGCCTTTTAGCCTTTTAGTTAGCTGTTAAGTATTTAGTTTTAGTATATGAATTCAAAATGCTACTTTTATTCAAGCTTTGTTATTTATCAATATTTTCCACATTCTTAGTTGTTTAATTTATAAGACATGTTAAAAAATCATCTACATCTAGATAAATGTATATATTTATTGTCTGAGTTTTGGAAATAAAGGAATGATCACCTAGCAGTGGTGAAAGGGATGCATGGAGCAAGTAAGATGGAGAATCCCTGTGTAGTACATTCATTTTGAGTGGCAGTACATTTTTGTTAATGATTTATTATATGTTATTTTATTAATCAGTATTAAAATTATTATTAGTTTTTGATCTGTCATTCTAACTGATTATGTTTATTGCAAGTGTCATAGAATTGCGTTTAGTAAGTTTTTGTTTTAATTTTGCATATTTCAGTTCACTAAGTTTTAAACTTCTAATTTTGTTTCCATGTAAGTGTAACTCTGTTTTCTGAAGCTTGCATTGATAAGCCTTGGAATTACTTCTTGAAAATCTATGACTGATAGATTTAAAAATTTAAGCATCCTATTTGAATTAATTATTGTTGATAAGATTATTATGTATATAACATTAGTGGCTCTAGCATGGCTTGGGAGCCATCACCTTAATGAATATAAGTTTATGAAAATAGACTAAACTAAATAATTACACAAATTTAGGTAGTAAATGCTGTTTAAATACAGGTCTTCATGGTATATCTGAAATCCTATGCCACTCAAAGAGTTAATATGATGTAAATGTGGACTTGTGTCCTTTGGAAAATCTAGTTGCAACTCTTGAATTTGCCTGAATTCCAAGTCGTAAGTTAGATATTAGTAGTAGTCAACTAATACTGGCATGAAGTTTGGCCAGCCTTGATATGTAACTTACTGCAAAATTATGTAAACGAATTTAGAGTTTTTTAATAGAAAATAATTTCTTTGGAAATAAAAAAAAAAATTAAATGAATTTTTTTTTGTAAATCGATTGAGAACGTGTTATACAAAATGTTTTATTATTTGGCAATGAGGAATAAAAGTCTTTAACCCTTTGATGGGTGCATCCCACCTTTTTTACAGTTTTTATCTCTCAGATGAAAGTTGCAAAATTCCATTTAAAATATATACAATTACGCCTTTTAGTTCTCTAAATGTATAATAGATCGCAGCACTAGTATTAATTCATGGAAATAATGTAAAATAAAAATTCTTTGCAGGTCTAATTTTGAAGCAGTTTTTTAAATTTATTTCTAATGCAACTTAAATCGTCTGAACAACAACTTTTGGTTTTAGAATGCGTATTTTTATGTGAAAGTTTTTCTTTTTCTAATTAAAATTATTATTTGAATTCATATATATTAATTAAGAATGGTTGAAATTAAAAGGTGGAATCAAATACGTCTCACGTCGCATGTAGGAATTACTGCTACTAGATGGCAGCAACATTAAAATATTTTTAAATTCAAGTATCATGTTCGTTTTGTATGTTGGTAATGCAAATTTATATTTTTTAATAAATTGCAATAATGTTAAAACTTGAAAAATATTTAGTATTTTTTCGAAAGAAATGAAAATATAACTCTGTAACATGAAATATCATTGATAACTGAATGGATATGTGAGTGTGATTCACCATAGAAAAATATCCTAAGCAGAGAAAAGAGAGGTGAAATGTAAATAAACATGACAGCCTTCTAAATATCTTCCTTTTCAAACCTGTAGCAAATAAAGTACTGGAGCAAAAATCTTCTATTTCAAATCTATTACGAAATCATTAAAAAATATCTAAAATGCCGTACAGAGAGCAATTTAAAAATGTCAGCAATTTTTTATTTTGCGCATAGGATCAATATTTTCTAGATAATTATTCAAAAACGTTTTTT